CCCACATTCATTAAAAAGCCATAGGGGGAATTTCCTTCGTTTTCCCATCTTACTGAGATGTACTGACACCTACATTTTGAGGTTCTCACTCTGTTTCCCTCTTCTTTATTACAAGGGTATTTTTTTTTAGAAAATGAAAAGTTAAAGGGATGATTTTATTCCATATTTTTATTAATTTGTGAATATTCGCTTCAATTTTATAAAAAAACACGATCGGTAGTCAATCGAGTCTGAAGAAGCATTACAAATATGTTCTTCGTCTATAAAAAATGAATGCTCCGAGTTCGTCACAAAATTGTGACTCTTAAAAAACTATGGTCGACCTAAACCATCCAAATCAATTAACGTAGATGACGAATCTCGACTATCCAATCCATAATGTTGGTGTTTGGGTGCGTGTGGTAGTGGTTTCTATAAGTTGATTGTTTGTTTCGTATTATTAGTTTTGTTGTTTCCTTTCTGCCCAAAAATAATCAATACATAATTCTTTCTTCAAATCTTGCTCTAAACTTTTGTGCCCATTGCTCTGTTCCGCACGCCCTATTCATTCATCTCCCTAAAAAAATTAATATAAAAAAAAACATAGCTTGCAGCACACTCTCCTAACAATCTAATGCTATCCAGATACTTATTTTTATGATGTTCCCAACACTTAAAAAAATATAATATTTTTTTGTTAGCATAGAAATGTTTTTTATTTGTGTGACAGGATGATACATGATTTTATGTTTGGGCAGACTAATGGATACGGCCTACGGGCATCCGGCCCAGTACATTAACGCCCAGCGAAATTTTGAGGTGGATGGGCCTTTGGCCTTTTGAATGGGCTGCTTTACTAGCCGCGCCGATGGGAAACCGGCCTGGCCTGCCAATTCTGGGAGTTTGCTTGTAATTCACGGTAACTCACACAACACTCAAGCTCAGTCAGCATGAACTTCCAATGGATACTGAATTAGCAGATCGAAACTTCCAATTGAGACTGACCTCGATGATCGAAAAGGTCGAGTAAAATAGCTGAACATCGGCAGCGAAAGGTAGAAGATGGAATCAAACACCCTGCATATGTGAGAATAACAACTGAATTCAGAGACATGCATTAGCCAACATGTATTCTCAAGTAAGAACCAACCAAATAAAAGTGTGGGAAACACATTATTTACAGTATTTTGTTAGTTCGGATTATCATCGGTTTTTATGATTTTGGGTATTATTTGGGGTATTCGGAAATAAACAGGGAGTTGAATGTTAAGACTAATTAGTTGGATAGTCATTGGGAATTAGGCAGACTATTTATTCTGTACTAGGGTCTTATTTTTCATTAAGCAGAAAGTTAATCAAATTCCTAAAACCTAACTCTCTCTCTCCTTCCTCTCTCCCAGCGCCGAACCCTCCTCTCTTCTTTCCCAAGAGCTGCGGCAGCAGCACCCTCAATTCCCTCTCTTAATTGTTCTAAATCCCCAATTCTAATCCCTAGTTAGATCAATCCCTAATTGATCTAGCTAAATTCCCCAATTCCCATCCTGTAGGAAATCTTGTTTCCTACCTCTGGTATCAGAGCCTGGCTCGAGAGTGAATTCCTTTGAACTCTTGAACCAGGGAAAGCAACAATGGTGTCAACGAAATCGATGAAGGCGGCGGAGAAGGCAACGCAGGAGGCCGAAAGGGGCAGCGCGACGGGCGGTGTTGATCGTGACGGGGTGGTGATGGAGGACCTTACCGAGCTGGAGGCGGTGAAGGAGGTGGTGCACGAGCACTCTGATGCGCTGGCCAGGCTCGAAGAAGGCCTGGCAAGAGTGCAGGCGGATGCGAAGGAGGATGCTGACGATCTGCGTCAGAGGCTGGAAGACCTGATGAGGGCAATTACCTCGTTGCAGGCAAGGGGGAGCAGACCAGAGAGAGCGCCGACCCCGGCGGAGCTGACGAACGAAGGAGGAGGCGGCCCTGGCGTGGCGGAAGAGTCGGCGGGCGGTGGGGGCGCCGCGGCAGCGGCGTTGGAAGCGCCGGCGGAGGCGAGGACCGCGGCGGCCGGGGCGAGCAGCGGGGCCGGCGGCGGGACGGGCCCGGCGAGGGCGGCGGCGGCTCAGGCGGTCGCGCCGAGTGAGGGGGCCGAGGGGAGCCGGGTGGCGGACACCGGGCCGGGCTGATCGGACTCCATTAGGGCTGGGCTCGGGCCTGTTACCGACACCCACGGCCCAAGAAATTGCGGCCCGAAAGGGAAAGGCTAAGATGGCTGGGTATGACGCAGATGGGCCTCCTATGAATAGTGGGCCGGGACAGTTGGGCCAGTATACGAGGATCCATAACGGGCTGGGATGGCTAGATCTAGAATATGGGCCCGAGTATGACAAACTGAGCTTGATGGGGCAGCCGGCCCAGTGGGCAGAGCAGGAGATGAACCGGAGGGGGCCTGGCGGGCCGAGTAGGGCCGCCGACCAGAGGGGGCCAAGCGGGTCGCCTCCTATTGGGCCGGGACAGGTGGCTGAACCAGGGGCGGGTCGGTCCGAACCGGGATCGGGCGGACCGATGCTGATCGGACCGAGTTGAGCCGAACCGGACTGGGACGAACCGGGATGGGTCGACCCGAGGTGGGTCGAACCGGGCATCGACCGAGTCCAACCGCTCAGCCGAACCGGAGGGCGGACAGCAGGGGTCCAGGAGGAGGAGAGGGCCCATATGAGGCGCCTCATGTCCCAGGGGGATACCCGAATCAGCCGGGCTACTACCCGGGTGACTATGGACACGGGAATCCTAACCAGATGCAGTGCTCTCATTGGGGGCAGCCATGGAGGACGCCAGGAAATGACAGGTATGGGTCCCAGTATCCAAACTATGAGGGAATGGATGGGATAGTTTTTCGAGCTAAGCCTCCTACCATTGAGTTTCCCAAATTCAATGGGCAGGAGGATGCAGGTCTTTGGTTGTATACAGTTGAGAGGTGGTTTAAGAATCACCCAATTCTGGAGGAGAGGAAAGCCTATCTGGCATCGTTCTATCTGGAGGGCGATGCACTCCAATGGTGGGCTCCTGAGCAGTTGGCGAAGCTGAAGCAGACCGGCACGGTGGCTGAGTACCGTGCGGAGTTCTTCAAGTTAGGGAACCAGTGTAAGGGAGTCTCGGAGGACACTTTGGTGGGGCTGTGCATGGCAGGTCTCAAACCTGAGATAGCCGCGGCTGTCAGAGTGTTCGAGCCCGATTCTGTGAAAACTGCTTTTCGTCTTGCAGGTCATAAGGAGGAAGAGCTGGCTAGCTGGAGAAGCACCATTGGCCGGTTCTCAAGGCCAAGCGGAGGTGGAGGAAGCAGCAGTACTGGTGGCGGCCCAGGAGGGGCACCCGGGGGAGGCTCGACTGGAGCCAATGCGGGCAGTGGGGGACCGGCTCCGGTGGCAAGGGTGGGGCCGCGGGCCATACCGAAGGGATTCGTGCGACTGACACCAGCAGAGATTGAGCAGAAGAGGCGGGAGGGCAAGTGCTTCAACTGTGATGGCCGGTTCACCATTGGTCACCAGTGCCCGAAGCCGGACTTGATGATGCTGGTTGGACGTTGGGAAGATGAAGCAAAGGAGGAAGCCGAGGATGAGGGCAATGGAGAGGAAGAGGCCTAGTAAGCTAGAGGGACAACCTTGGGGACAAGGTTGTTTTTCGAAGGAAGAGGGGATGTGGGAAACACATTATTTACAGTATTTTGTTAGTTCGGATTATCATCGGTTTTTATGATTTTGGGTATTATTTGGGGTATTCGGGAATAAACAGGGAGTTGAATGTTAAGACTAATTAGTTGGGTAGTCATTGGGAATTAGGCAGACTATTTATTCTGTACTAGGGTCTTATTTTTCATTAAGCAGAAAGTTAATCAAATTCCTAAAACCTAACTCTCTCTCTCCTTCCTCTCTCCCAGCGCCGAACCCTCCTCTCTTCTTTCCCAAGAGCTGCGGCAGCAGCACCCTCAATTCCCTCTCTCAATTGTTCTAAATCCCCAATTCTAATTCCTAGTTAGATCAATCCCTAATTGATCTAGCTAAATTCCCCAATTCCCATCCTGTAGGAAATCTTGTTTCCTACAAAAAGCTACAACTCCAGTAGAATCCCTATTTGGATAATAAACCAAACTCAGAAAGATACCAAAGAATAGGAGGGAAATGAAGCTGCTCCAATTAAACCAGCACCCACAAAATTCAACCCAGATCTTCTCACCTAAGACTACTATATTGTATCAGCTAAGTAATGTGGAAACAGGACACCCAGCATAACCAACCATTGGATGTATACAAACTCACACAAGCAAGCAGCCAGATTCACAAAACATCTAAGAACATAATAAATGGCCTTCGATATGGATGTTCCTGTATTAGTCGATTTCATTTTCAACCCTCCCCAGAAAAGAGTGATTTCAAGAGCCGAAACTAAAACCGACCAACCAAGTCTACGAGCCACATGAGCAGGCACCATACCGAGGCAGGAGACAAATTCTGGATGAACATGTATTATGACCTACCTCAACGCACAAATAAGCACACAGACCACAAGGATAATATTATATATCTGCAATCCACAATGTGATGCATGATTCACTTGGTGGTTCGAACAGGCGTTCCAGGTCCAAGGTAGAGACCAGTAACGAACATAATTCCCTTCCAATATTATCATAAGCATTAGTCAGAAACACACATTGCTTGTCAGTTACAAGATAGGCACAATGGCGCGACAAATTAGCTTACGCAGATTCTGCAGGCACGAAACATGATTTGACCAAACTTGGGCATCTCCTGGATAATTGAAATCTGCAAGCAAGAACTAACAAAGAACTATTGGAAGAAAATAATGCGGGAACAATGTTACTATGAATAAAGAGAGACAGGAAAGATCTTACCATAGCCTGGTAGATTACTATGTAAGCAAGACAAAACCCTAAGAAATCTGAAGTATGCAGCAACCAAAATCTTAAATCTTTCAATGCTACCTTACTGACAGGGGGATATTATACATAAGAGTGCCCCGCAACCCAATCCATGCTGGTATAAGAAATTAATGAAATCTTACAGAAGTATAATCTAGCACAAAAAAAGATCATCTGAAAAATCGTAATGGCAATTCCAAAATGAGTTAGTAACCAAGAAACAAATTGAACAGAATGAAAAGCTCATCTTATTAGAAAAACAAAATGTATGTACAATGAACTGTTCTCTGATTTGCAGAAGCTACAACCAGGATACAGTGTTGTTGCTCAGACGTAAACAGCGAGACATACTAACTTGAACATTGAACAGATATCTTTACAGTCGAAGTCACTAACTTGATACAGAATCGTAAAATAGGTCCGGAAATTCATTTGAAAATCTTGTGAACCCTACAAAAGAATCTATATAACCTAACTGTGGACCAGCAGCAAAATGACCATACAAGTAAGTGGTCACCTCTCTTTTATAACATCGCTTATGTTTGTTTGTCAATAGTATAATGAACAAGACTATACAGAAGAAAGACTTCAAACCATCATATTCAAGTCCGAAAGGTCATCCATGGGGATCTCAAGACCCATGAAATCAAGGTCTTGCAACCCATCATCGTCAATATTCAACCATGAACCTAGATCCTGTCCTTGGCCATCATCATCGATTCCTGGTAACATATTGGATAAATCAAGAGAATCAGGGTCGTCAAGTTCATCCAAACCAAACCCATCTTTTTCTTTGGCATTGCTGCCAGTTGGATGAGTCGGCTTAGACTCGGAGGGCAATGTTGGTTTGGGCTGTTCTGTCTTGCCCAGAAGGCCATTCACCGAAACAGATAATTGAGTTGTTTTCTGCTTCGGCTTTGCTTTAGATTTCCTTTCTCCTCTGGAGTTTGAAAGAGCTGGTCTGCCACTTCTATTTGTTCCGTTCCTAGATGATATCTCTCTGTTGTGTACCTTTCCCTCCCTGTCTCTCTCACTCCTCTTTCCTTTTGTACTGCTTGATAACGATCCTTCAATCCCTGAAGAGGTACCAGTAGTACCACCACCAACATCGTCCAGCAACAACTCCCTCTTCTTCACCCTATTTGACCATGTTTCTTCTTTACCAGATCCACGATGTACAGGTGGAAGCATGTCAAGGTGATTAGCAACAAAGACATCCCCATTCTGACCAAGTCGAGGAGTTTGAGGACTTAGCTGTGACACAGTGGTAGCTGCAAAGAAGATAGAAAAAGAACAGTCCAACTTCCGCCAGATGTCGAGAAAAAGCAAAAAAACACATGGGAAGACCAGAGAAATGCATCTGGTAGCAGTTGAAAACCATAAAAATGATCAAGCAAAACCGAAGTATCACAACAGTACCTGAAACTAATCGGCTTGGGGCCGCAACAAATGGTTTTGCAGGTTCGCCATCCACAGTGTTCACCATTTGTGGACCATTGACTTGTGAAGGTGCAGAGAGGAATAGTTCTTTAAACATGGGTTCACTGAAGCAGCCCTTACCCGTATCTTCATAATTATAGCACCTCTCCAGCGTACGCTTAATAAATGCTAAGGAGGCTTGCTTGGCCATTTTGTTGTTGGAATTCTTCCCGCCAGCGGGACCACAACAAGCCTATTCAGGAAAGCAGCATAGTTCAATCTTACTGAGAAAATTGCTTCTTTTGCTGTTCCTAGTTCAAAATCATGCCCTCATAGCAAATGAAGGATGGTGCTCACCTGGAGTATCCTATTTAGCATACCAGATTAACAGTAGTAACAAGTGACTTACCATACACAGGTTAGGTGTGAACTTACCATGTATTTGTAGTAAGCCATTGTAGTGAGCTTGTCATAAGCACGTTGCTCAAATTCCCTAATAGACATATTGCACTTTGAGTCATGATAAGGAAACAGCAAAAGCCGAAAAGGAACAAAATGTGCTTCATTTGCCCAGTAAAGATGAATCCTTACTTCTCTTGAATTTCTTTTGTATTCATGGCATCTTTCAACAAATGATCAAGCAAACCTCTCTTCTTCAAGACCTATTGCCGCAACAGCCAAAGTTAGAGACATGATCATCAAGGACCTTCAAAATGTGAGAAGTGAATAGTACTGCATGAACACAAAAATGATTTGACCAACTTCTGATCTGTGATCAACACAGTGCACCACACACCAAAAAAAAAAAAAAAACTATCAACATAGGTTGGAGGGCTGGTGAATTAATAGATGCATGTATACTTATAAGTACAGTTGAAGAGGTAAGCTACCTAGCCTGATATGGGAGCCTAGACAATGTTCTAAGAAATACCTGTTCGGCATGCTTCTCCTCCAACTTACAGATGTCCACAGTGATCCCTTGATCGTCTGTATGCATGCTGGGCTGCAATGAAAGAAATGGAGTGCAACAGGAGAGCACATATAAGTAACAAGGACACAAACAAGCTCTATATTCAGCCTAAACGCACATCACAGGTACTAAATCACAAAGTATCCCAAAAAACACTAACTGACAAACAATAAAATAATGACTTATCAATGAAACCAAACACTATAAAGAAAAACTCTGTATTAGAAACCTACCACTGATTCTGGAAATATTCCAATGCTTTGAACCTCCAGAAGCAGCTTTTCATTTAACCGCATGTTATCGAACTGGAGTTCTGAAGCTGCTATAGGTATTGGTGTCTGATCTGAAAATACACCATTTGCGGCATGAATGGAGTTTGAATAAGTACCTTCCTTTGGGATACCCAATACATTAATTTCTGAAGAATCACGTCCTGGCTTTACTGTCACTTTGTAGTCATTAAATATAGCTTGCGAAGATGCCTGGAAAATATCAAGGTGATCCAATCCACTTAAACCCAGCACCCGATCTGGTTCAAATCCGGTTGCATATGCACCAAACTCATTGTCCTCATCTTCAAGGCCACAATCATCCTCTGAGATTATAGCTGCTAAAAGCATCTGGCAGAGAGAACTATCCCCTGCACTAGGCACATACTCTCTTGATTGAAGTTCAAATCCAGTAGTTTCAACGGTACACCCAACTTCTACCCCTTGTTCAATTAATCTATATCCAGTAGAGATGTTACTGCATATGTGGGCAACAGAGGAAAACGGCGCTGTCGACACAATAGGATCCAGATTTACCTGCCAATAAACAAATGATTGAACACATTACAACAAGGTAAGCTAGTTTCAGAATTGATAATGCTTTTATAGATGACCCAAAACAATGTTGCTTACCTGCTGTTTCAAATAATCAAGGTCGACATCAGCTATGCAGCCAAAGAATTGTTCCATTTGCCTCCAAAATGAACTAGACAGCACTTGAGATGCTAGGAGGTAGAAAACAATAAATTAATACATAGTAAGCAAACACCCAAAAAAATGTTCTCCAACAAGGAAAGTGTCATGTCAATATAGCACCACATTACCATGACTAATAGCAGCATTAGCAGCAGCCAGTAACTCTTCCTGCCCGTCATCAGAGGCAACTAAAATGATCAAGCCAAAAAAGTTAACAATAGTACGGAAACCTCAGCATTCATCGGTTAGTTTTATTCAAAAGAATGCTGAGTGCAATACCAAAAAAATCTGGTGTTGCCTGAACAGCAGTATGCTTTTGACGCGTATATGCTTTGCGGTCGGATAGTTTTCTGGTTGGTGGACGACCAGGCTTACTGAGCAAAGAATTAAAAATCAACTATAAGCATCATAAGAAAATAACCCAGTAGCAATCAAGATGTACAAAAGATCCTGGGAAAGAATAAAGTCGGAGATCAAATGTTTGACCTTTCATTCTTGTCAGAACCAGCCCTTGCACTTCGAATCTGTTTTGCTGGTCCAAGCTTCTCAATGCCAACGGGCGTGAGAGACCTAGTTGTGGAGATAGCACGCCCGGTCCTTCCTTGCCTTCGCACACCATCTCCTAGGTCTTCTCCTTGCATCAGCTTATTCTTCCTTGATGGTGTACCAAGACTTGATACTTTCTGAACATTTTGCCCAACCTTTTCATCCATTTCATCAGACTTTTTGGGTTTGTCCCAAGATTTGATTTCAGGAGCCCCTGATTCTTCACTTTCAGATAACGCAGTAGAGGATAAGGGCTCACTTTTTAGTTTTACCTGTTGAGGAGAGCCAGCGGACAAACGTCTGGGAGTAGAAAGTCCTATCCCAGTTTCATTACCTGAGACATCGGATACAGTATCTACAGCTGAAACCTCGTCATTACTAGAAACTATAGGCATCAAATTTGTTCTTCTTGCTGTGCGGGAGATCTTCTGAGGCCTTTGGCCAGCCCACTGGGCAACAGGTGGGGATGAAGAACGATTAGATGCAGTGCGTTTGCGAATATTAGCTCCAATAGCAGGTGGCTTGTTTTTACAATGAGAAAGCTCCCAATCACTGGCAGCAGTTGCCCTGTGCACAACCGGGGACAACTTGGGTGCACCAACAGAGCCTGTGCGGGGAGCCCGAACAGATGGACTTGCTTTTGTGCTTGAAGTAGGACTAGCTGAGTTTAAATCATCTCGAACATTTGACCTGTCGACAACAAAGGAAGTCAGTGCATTACGACAGTAAGAGCGTCTGACTACCACTACTTCTCCCCACTCACCCATTATCTTGTGAGCAAGCTAGTGTGAGAGAGAGAGAGATTGAAAAACAAAAACAGAGAAATATTTGGCCTTTCTTTATCTGAACAAACAAATAAGCAGCAGTAGAAGGGTAATATTACATAATCCCTACTTCAATGGAATCAGAGGTGTGTACATACTTGTTAACACTTCTAATATTTGGCCTTTCTTTATCTGAACTAACTGAGCGCTCTCTCCTATCATTTAGAACAGAACCATTTTCTAGGTCTGCCCTAGGGAAGGATGAACGCGAGCTCAAGCATGGTGACTGAGAGGCACCTTCGGATTTTCCAACACCAACAGCACTTGCAACTCCTTGCCTAGAGTTTAATATATAAAACAATAATCGTCAAAAGAGTGCATGATCTTGTGGTAAAGAAAATGCTGAACTTTGTGCTTAAATGAATACTGAAACAAATTGAGTTGGGGTATCAAAATGAAACTGAGAATCAAGCATGGACCACAGACAGTTACTTTTGATCATTTTCGGCAAGCATCGCGCACAATGTTCACATTTCAGAACAAACCACAGTTCAGGTACACTAGAACTTCAGAACCTTCCAACATGATACAGGCCACATAAGTAAAACCCTAACGGAAAGTTCTTCATAGTCCAACGTCTAAGAGTAGTTAACATACCACAAACTAAAGAAAATTGAACTTCTAAGCATGATCAAGAATTCAAAAAACAATTTTAAGATTTCGTCAGTATGAGGATGTATCAACCAAGGTGTTTTACTCTTCCTGTTGAGTCCAGAGACACTTTACTTACTTGTTCAAGGCTAAACCAAGAGATGGAAACCATGCCACATCGCAGTATGGAAAAACGTACAAACAAAAAGGAACCACTATTTGAATCAAAATCACCAAAGTCTGGAAGATGTTGAAACATTCAACATTTTGAATTTCCTCACTATTTCTTTAGAAATATGCCGATTCAAGTTCAAACAAACATTATCAAGTAGGTTGCCAAAAACGAATGAAGAAGGGGCCTCAAGTTTCTGCACAATCAAGCACCAAATTAACACTTTAGTTACAGATGTATGCAGCAAGAAACAATAAATAGACACCACTTACACACCTGAAACCTTGAGCGTCGCCGTTCAACCTGGAACGGGGATCAGTAGCAGCTCTTTGCTGCAGCCCCTGTTTAGGGTCACGATATAAGTCAGTGGGCTTTGTAGAGACTGAACTTGAAGAAGCATCAGGTTTAATCCCAGAGCGCTTTTTCTTCATTTTTGTCTTTTCCCAACCATCAACACCGATTGATAATGTCCGTTCATCAGTCTGAACAGTGCCGTTACTTGCGAGCCTCAGCGCTTCTCTCTCTTGATCTGCAGCACCAGGAGCTCTGGCAAGGTTATTGCTCTGTGCATTAAAATAAAAGCAAACTTTCCTGTTAGTAGATGCAGGAAAGGGCACGTCTCCTTGAGAGCCAAAAGAGAAACTAGTACAAACCTATTAGCATAAACTAATGTCTGGAATACCCAAGATGAAAATTAAATAAATCCAGACCACTAATTTGTAGAGAATATGGCTAGACATCTACGGATCAACATAGAGACCAGAAAAATGGGAAGTAATTCACAGGCAGAAAGTGGCTGACAATTCCACCCATGGAGAAGGTACTTGTGGACATAACAAGTCAACTAAGAGGGTCAAACAAAGGGGAATCACCATTTCATGTATACAAGGAAGTACAGGTAATATAATACAAACCCTCACATCCACCAAAGAAGTGCGAGTGCGCTTGTTTGGAACAACACTTTTGGTTCGTTCTTCTGGCTTCTGCTGTTCCAGCTCAAAGCTGCTGGTAACACCATGATTCTGAACTCCCATCTTACTAAGGCTTTGGCCCAAAACTGAACGATCACTAGACAATATTGAACTAGATCGGTCATTTGAAAAACTTTCTGATCTAGATCTCTTCTTTGAGGGTATGGCTGGGAAGAACTTGTTAAAAACAGATAAAGCTTCACTGAAGATCTTCATACGCTCCCTGCCATTGGGAGCAAATATAATTAGCAAATAAAACCATCACACTGCAATTACAAGTATGAAGGGTTTGAAGATCTAGAAACCCTACCTTGCTTTCACAGAGCATTCACGAAGACTAGCCCTGACTCTCTTTATCTCCTCAGGTATAGGAGCCTGAGTAACCTTTCCTTTCGATGAAACAGATTGGGAATCATCCATTGAGACATTAAGGGCAATGTTTAGGTGTCTTCTAAAATCCCCTTGACGACTAGCTTTATGGTCTGCTGCAACATTTTTTGGATCGAAACGCAAGCATTGGAGAAAATTTGTCACATCTCCCTGTGATAGCACAGAACTACTTCTGATCATGTTCGGAAGAGAGGATGGGACTGGACCACCCTCCATACTCTCACGGAAACTACTTGATCTATCCAGTTGAGTGATGGCATGGGATCCACGCTGGCCACTGTTGTATACTGGCCTATCTGGGCTACCAGAAGATGTATCAAACTTACTAGAAGTAGCCATTGTATAGGTTGTCTTACATTCACTGTGTTATGAACCCAATACATGCAACAATACATGACAAACTGTAACACTGCAGGCTGCAGCACATAAAGACCAGTCCAAGACTTCAAAGGTCAATGCACCTGCAAAGAAGGAACTAGAACGATGAGAAACCTAGTCGAAGCTCATAATGGCAGGAACCAATCACCAGTTAAAAATGCCATGATCTCCCAATCTTTTGATGGTCCTGATTGTGACAGAGAAATGAACAAAATGACAAACCATCACGAACTCGAAACTAGACAAGCGATGCTTCACTCACTTAATTTCAGGTAAACCCAATTAATCAATGCAGTAGAGTGAAACAACGAATAAAATATAATGGAATTTTCCTTCATCTTCTAACAGGTGATCAGTGCAACCAACCGTCAAACAGATAACCAACTAATAGCTCTCAGATTAGTAACATTAGCCACCTTTTCCAAGTTTTGGTCAATCAGTAGTAACTTTCCAAACACAAACAAAACTTCCATTGCGTTCACATTCCCAAAGATTCCGCCCAGTAAATCTGGAAAACCACTAGCCTAACTACTTAAATCGTGAAAGGCAATATACAGTAGAATGTGTTCTCTCTTTTTTTTTTTTTTTTTTCTCCACTTGCAGCACTCAACTCAACTTCAACATTCGAACTGAATTCAACCATTCCAGAAATGGAAAACAAAAGCAGCCCGAAAAATTGGGATCATATCAAATCAACAAAACAACCCAACAAAAAGAAAATTAGAATTGAAGTCCGGAAAGCAGTCAGCAGCAGTACTGGCAAACAAACCTTTAAACAAAAAACCTGAAAGCACAAACCTGCTAAAATAAGAAGAAGTGGAAAAGGAAGTTCGAGGCAAGCTACGACCTTTAGCCTCCGACCTTCCTGTTTTGCTTAAAGTAAGAAGACTCGCGGGAAGTCTTGATTTCACCGTAGCAAGCTTTATTTCGAACTCGCCTGCTGAAGGGGGCGATTCGGCGGTAATGCGAACAATCTTCTGAGTTGCTCTACCAGTTGCCACAACTTGAAATCAACCCAAAAAGAAGAATTTGATGAAGCTTCCAACGAGGATTGAATGGAGGAGATGTTGGCGGAATTGCTCCTCCGAAGCCGTTTGAGGAATTAGGGATTTAGCGGAAGGGATTATTAATGAGTAATTAGGGATACAGAGCAATTAAGGGAGAGGCGGAAGGGAAGGAGGGAGATTTGCGCCGGCGAGTTGGGGAGGCCCGGTGTGAGGCGAAGTGAATCGAAGAGGAAGAAGAATAATGGAACAAAGGATCGGCAAACGAGGCTGGACAGCAGTTCTACGGCGTCGTTTTTATGGTCGTTGAATCTTTTCTTTTATTTTCCATGTATTAATAAGATTTTATTTTATATTTTCTCAAGTTGGCTTCTTCAAGTCTTTTTCTCTTTATATAAATTTTTGGAAGAGGGTGACAATCGGTTCGGTGTCGGTTAACTACTAACCGATAAGAAAAAACTCATACTGATAATCAAACTTATAAGTCTTGTCGATTAACGTCTCTTATCAGTTCGGTTAGCGGTCAGTTTGGCGATTAATTAATTACTACTAACATATGTTCCAACAAGTACAAATATAGCTAATCAAACAATTAACTTATGTTTACTTTCATGAAATATAATAAAAGTGAAAAAAAAAACACTTGTAATACACAAATCAATGAAACATCGTCCAATTAAATTTAAAAGTGTCATTTAATCCTAACCACCTGTAAAACAATGTAACTAGACTTCTACATAATTAACATAAAATACTAATGATAAGAAATAACATCAAGACAACATCCATCTTGAATTCATAATCCAAATCCAAACTCCAACACATAAAATAATCAATCGATTTCATCTAATTAGTGAATACCAACTACCAAAACATCAAAAACAAGAACCACAAGATCATCATCATCCACAAGCATCAAAAGAAACAAAGACTAGTAGGGGAGTCAGAGAGGATGACTTTTGGGTTTTTCTGGTATACTTCATGTTAATTTGTCGTGTTTCTGGTTTGCGTTTTTTTTGGTATGCTTTATGATACTTGTGGTCGCAGCTAGCTAAGGATGGGATGTAGAATAAACGAGCAACGCCACATGCGTGTCCCTGCTATAATTTTTAAAAATGACAATCGTGTCCCTTCTTTTAAAAATCAACATTAATTGTGATCAAATCCTTAAATTTAAAAAGTCTTCAAAATTAAATGTTCTCTCAGACCCACCAAGCCCAATACAAGGACGAGGCCCATCAGGCCCAAGAAGCCCACATCACATTTGGATGGGTATCGCCAACAAAGCGGTCGTGAGGCCCCCACATGTCATGTAAACCGCATCGAACCCATCATCTACACATCGGGAGAACCACACGCTTTGGGGGAACAACCTACCTACTATAAACAGTATGAGAACACCAAAAACAATCGACCGCCCGACTCACAATTAATGGAACTCACCAAGACGCTCTACATAACATTAAATGCTCTCAATCACCATCGAACAATATAAATACTGAATCGCTAAATGTCGCTCTTAAAATTGCTAACGGTCGTCCTAACTCTAATGATAAATGACTTATATACCCCCCAATAAAATTTCAAAATTTAAACAAACCAAACAATACCTAACCCCTCGTCTGCCTTCTTCGCGAATCCCTCTCGACGCACCAGTTCGTCGGCGTCTTTCCCGCCGTCGTCGTCGCCCGTTCTCTAACGAAATTTCCAAAACAATGCTCAACCTAAGGCAAGTTACGGTTGCACCATGGACCAACCGCAAGTGAGCTGCGGTTGCACCATGGACCAACCGCAAGTGAGCTGCGGTTGGCCCATGGTGCAACCGCAAGTGAGTTGCGGTTGGCCCATGGTGCAACCGCAAATGAGCTACGGTTTGCTTTTTTTGGGTTTTTTTTTCAATTTTTTTAGTGAACTTTACCGATTCAGAGTCGCTAGTCATGATCCAGACATCATATCGACGATTCCAACTCCAAAATGACGATGTTGGATTCTCTCTTTTGAAAAATGTTTTATTTTCTTTACTAAGTGGTGTTTGTTTGCTAAAGGAAAAGTAAAGAAGCTAAAAGGTTAAATTGGTAACTTTGATGTTTTTTAGGGCGACATTTAGCAATTTTAAGGGCGACCTTTAGCAGTCCTCATTTATGGTACTTTCAACTAATTCATTATGTTTTTGAACACATTACCACTTGAATGACCCAGATGTGAAGTGCATGCGATAATTTGTGGAGGTTTCTAAATCGTCTATCCCTCGAAGCTGAAGGATGCACCTTGAGCACAAACTCTCACGTCGAAGCCCAAGTAACATTTTGGGCCTAAATACTGACCTAAGCCTAAGAAAGCGTTAATAACCCCCTTTATGGTCTAACATGACTGTTGCTGAAATGAAGACATAAGCATTGCGTGAGTGCTGATGTCGCTCACCAATCTTTCTGTTTGCACAAGATTTGGTTTCATTTGTCAAAGCCCAGATTCTTGACAATAGTGTTGGCGAAATAATCAATCAAAATTCCAAACACGGCGGGATGCATTTAATCGAATAAATGTAGGCATAAAAAGATGGTTAACAATATGTAAAGTTTGTCTTCCACCGTTTGGGAAATAGACAGAGAGACTGGAACAGATAAGAAAGCAACAGCAACCTTTAACAACATCTTACATGAACAATTAACAATCAGTATCCATAGCAGTAGCAGCAGCTGACTTGCAATTGCAACCAAACTGTACACAACCAACCCAGAAAGGAAACAAAATCGCCACGAATCCGTGGTATAACGGTATATCCACTTGATCACTGATACATGGTCTTTCCACCATAGTATGAACTCAATTGCTGCTGCACTTTTTGGAACAGAAAACTGTGATGCTTTGTTCTTAATCTGCAGACGGGGTTATTATACATACAAGGACCCATCAAAAGAATGACACTACACTGCCTGTGTATAGAAGAATACAACCAACTCAGGAAAGCCACCCTAACACTACAAGTCTACAAGTATAGAGCTTTCCTAGAAATCCGAAAAAGGGCAAGCAAAACAAGAAGAAAAGCTGTTAACTTCATGTATGGAATGATGAAATGAAGAAGCTGCTAAACCTACAGGAAAGAAGTTCCGGCAAGGCCATGATGCAAGAGGTTGTGAGCAATGTGATCCCTAGCCTGTGCCGCACCGGCTGATCTCAGGCTGTTGTTGTCTGGTATCATCTCGTCGTCGAAAAGATCGAACTCGAGTTCAGGCTCCATCACCTCGTTCCTCATCTCGCAGATGTTGTGAAGCACACAGCAAGCCCCAAGAACAGCAGGCAAGTCTTGTAGCTTCACCTCCGTCCTCTTCTGCAAGCAAGTCCACCTCCCTTTCAGCCTGGCGAATGCATCTTTGGCGACGCCTCGAATCTCCCCAATCTTCTCGTTGAAAGCGTTCTGCGGCCATGTCAGGTTCTGGTGAGTGTAGGGCACCAGAAGCCAGTCCATCAAAGGGTGCCCGCAAGTCCCCACGATCGAGACATCTTTCAGTAAGCCCATGCTTGCTCTCTGGTAAAGTGCAGACTTCTCAAGCACCTGATCATCTGACATTGAGCCAGGCAAGCCAATGCACACATCTGTGAACACACCTCTCGGATTCACCACGCCTTGAACCGTGATCGAGTACGATGTCTTCTGGTTCCTCTCTGTGTGCCTCTTGTTGAAGTAAGAGCCTACACTGGTCTTGGGAGCGATGATTGGGATGTGGGTTGTGTACATCGACCCACCAACATTCGGTATCCCCGAGATCGATTCGTACTCGCCTTTAATCCCTCTCATCTTCTCCTCGTCCGGCCAGTGGATAAACTTGGGCATCAGCACCTTGCTGATTGCTGAACACACCTCGAGAACCAGCTTGTGGCAAGTGGAGATCCCCAATCCGAACTTCTTCGACACGATTCGGAGTGGCTCCCCTGTGGCCAGCCTCCAGATGCACACCGCAACCCGCTGGCGGACAGGGATCGCATCCCGCAGCATTGTGTTCTTCTTCATCACCGCGGAATCAAGTTCCTCGCAGATCATGCTGAACGTCGCCTTGCTCATGCGGAACGCCCTCTTGAACTCTTCCTCGGGGAAATCGGGATGGTTACACCGATCCCACCAGTCCTTTGACCTGTCCTTCACCCACAATCGCCGCTGCTGCTGCGGCGGCGCCGTGCTCGTCGACCCACCTCCCCGATTCCCAGTCTGAACCGAATCCCCCAAACCCGCCGCCGCCGTAGCCACCGCTGAAGCAGAGCCGCGGGAGCGTTTGGTCCTGGATTCGTCCAAATTGGAGAAATGGGTTTGCATACCGGAACCGAAATCATTCATGACTCGCACCTTCTGATCGTGCTGCGACTCCACAAGCCACTGATTCTGCTCTTGCTTCTCCCCCTCGTCCAATAGCATAAGCGAGCTGAGGATATCCTTCACCGCATTCTCCTTCTTCAACTCCCCCTCGCCTTTACCACTACTACTCTCGTCTTCACCGCCGCCAGCGTCCTTCCTTCTCCGCTTCTTCGAGGAAGTATTGCTAGTATTTATATCAACGCTATTGTCGCCGCTGTAAAATCCACCGCTGCCGCTGATCCCTTCCCCTCCGTAACTGCCGCTGCTGTCGGGGAAGTTATAGTCCATTTCCTGGAAGAGGGAGTAGAAGTTTGAAATCTCTTCCGGGTTGAGGAATGGGAACGAAGTAGATATTTCCATACAAGCTGACCGACCGACCCACCCACTGAGAGAGGATTTGAAGGAATAGGAAAGGGTCAGAAAAGTGTTCGACGAAATGCTTCAAAGAAGGAAGACAGGTGCGAAAACAGAGGGAGCGTTCAAACGTAGAGCGGCAGAGGAAGAGAAGAAGATAGGGAGAAGAAGAAGAATAGAAATGGGAATTGGAGACTGGTAGTGGGAAGTCCATGGATGATATATAGGGTGTGGTGGAAAGGAAGGAAATTGAAGAGGAAGGTAGAAGAAGATGAAGATGGTGGGATGAATGAAGCGAGAAATGAAACGTGTGCGGAAATGTGAACGCGTTGCTGCTGCTTTTGACGGTGACTTGACTTTTTTTTTTTTTGGATTTTGATGATTAAAAGGGTTTTTACGCGGTGGGGGAAGGGTCGGATCGGGCAGGACCCGAGGAGCACAACCGCGGACGGATTTTTTATTTTATTTTTAATTTGGTACAATAGTACAACACAGACTCGCTTCTTCGCAAAGTTGTCAACTCGATTTAGCTCGTAAGTCTGGGCGAGTAAGTGGATTGAGAATTAATGGTTCGATAATTTTGTCTCGGTTTAGCTCGAATATATATAAAAATTTATTGTAGAGTTCATACATTTATAGATTATAGCAAATTGCATCTAACAAATCGACATGGACAATAACATATAACATTAAACATTACACAAAAAATAATAGTTCGTACTTGGATCCATCATATAATAAAATTCAAACCCACTCATTAACAAAATATATTTAAATGTTCAACTTAAAACTTTAAAGACATGGTTACACGAAGAGGAAAACCGGAAAGAAACCGTATGACCTCCAATCAGAGAACCTTACGGCGAATCCTCTCGGTGGCTCCTATTTTTTTCACTAATTCCGGGTCAAGCCGGGTCAATTGGGAGTCGACCCGTGGGTTTGCTCGCCTTGCTCCGAAACTGATGTGGTCTATGGGGTTTTATTTATTTAAATTTGAAAAAATATTAATTTATTATTATTATTATTTATTGGACTGGTGGTCTAATTGCCAGCGTTGCGTCATTTCATTTGTGAACTTGGTTGACCGATCCAAAATAATCAACAACAACAACCCGTGTAAGCCTCTGTGTGTGTGTAACGCTTTGAGTTCTACAATGTCAATGGGTTAACAGATGCGTTAGATGGGCGGTGGTTGGGAACTCGGGTGGGCATATGGGTGGATAATTCGGAGTTTGATATTGATCCTTTTGCAAATAACTTAAATTATATGAGTGTATCAATGATTTGGGTGGATCTAGAATTTGAAATTTTTTAGGGTAAATCTATAATATATCAGGTATAACTATTAAGAAGCGTGAAATTATAGTCATAATTATCAAAATACAAATTATTAGCCAAACAGTAACTGTCTATTAGCAATTCCGTTAGTAATGTTGACTAAACTTTTACAATGCTGAGCTCGCTTTTATGTGTCGGTCACTATATCATATTTTAATTTTAAAAAATAAATTATTAAATAATTAAGAAAATGAAAGAAAAAAATATAAAAATTAAAAGAAATCTCCCTCTTCTTCTTACGCTCTCTCCTCCTCTCCGACTAGCTCTAAAGAGCTCCTTCCTTCGAGCAAACCCAGATCCAGCAAACCCAGACTTTCCTTCCTCCTTTCCACAAATTCCACCCCCGATCTTTCTCCGATATTGATTGTTTCTTCTTCACCCCCATCTTCTCTTCTTCTCCTTCTCCTAATTCGCCGTCGAACCCTCGACCATCGGGCGTAATAGAGGATCGAATAATCCAGATGTGAGTTATACAGAATTTATTATATTCCATCTTTTTTTTCACCATCCATAAAATTTACAAAAACTCAATTTCACCTCTCAAATTCGATCATGTAATTGAACAAACCAAGAATTATAATATTGAGTAGTGTTGATCAACTTGAGTGAGTGCGACATCAACGTCAATTGATAACGGAAGCGTGTCTCCAGCAAGAAAACCACCGCACACGACCCTTGAATCTTGATTGCTACATACATGCAAATGCCAAAAGGGTGAAATATGGGTCAAACCTCAAACGTAAATAATGACCCAAAAAATGAAACCAGTAGCTAATAATTTGAATAAAATTGCATAGAGAACGAGATAGACTAGAACAAATCAGGTCAAGGAGAGTATTTATATCTGCTTATCACAAAAAAACATGTCAAACATATCGAATAAAACGACTTTGATCGAAATTTGCATGCCTACATACTATACATATCCAATCCCTACACGTCGTCATAATATATAGTATCTGCCAATCAATAATTGGCATCCATATCATATCCCTTCCGTCCACTCGCCACACTATCACGCTCATGCTAACCTCATTGCTTACTTCATATATATATGGAAAATACTATTTCTTTTCTTATTTCTTTCCCCTTCTAATTTCTATTTTCATATTCGTCCTAGATGATTTCTCCTCCGTAAAAGATACTAGCTTGGATCCGGCGTGATGGTGGGAATATTTAGGTTTGAATTTTTTTATAAATTATCTTAATAGTTAAGAGTTTTGTAGGGTTTGTTTTTCTCATGTATTAATATAGTGAGAATTTTATATGACTCTCGATTACAGTGGACAAATTCATAGTAATAATAATCAATTCATCGTTAAGAAGTTTGACACTTTCTTTAGATTAATGTAGATTTTTAGTTAAGATTTTTGTACTTCATTCCCATATTGACCGGATTAATGAAGGTACACGAACATGTAAAAGTACTCGACACGTCAACAAAACCTCCCATACACCATAGGACTCTACATCTCAATTGTTCTCTCAAGCCATTAACATCGAGACGATCTTGACCTGGTTTGATCAATTTCAAACAAATTCGATTTGAAACAAAACCGGACATGTTCATTTTTTTTCTTTTGTTCCCAACTATCGTTACGATCGACTAGTTTTTTTTTTTTTTTGGTAGAAAGAGTGACGCAAATAGCGTCTATATCATATTAACAGAACGTTCATGGGATGTTCCCAAAACATCATGGCAAAGCCATTGAACTAAACCAGAATCTCGCACATTGAGATTGTGTGTACCAAAATGAAAATCATGGCCGAGATTCGCCAAGTAGTCGGCTGCAAAATTGGCCTCTCTGTACACGTGATCGATTTTAACCTCCCATTCAAGGTTGAGGAGTTGTCTGAATTGGCTAGCAATGCTGCCATGTCTGTGATCTTCATTCTCTCTGTTTCTTATGATCTCAATTGCTGTAGTGGAGTCCATCTTGAGGTGAACCTTTCGATAGCCCCTGTTCCAAGCAATCTTAAGTCCCTCAACCGCACCTTTTAATTCTGCTGCAGTGATGGAACATCTCCCAAGGTTGCAGGTGAACGCTTCCACACAGTGTCCCAGGTGATCCCTGAGAAGTCCTCCTGCAGCTGCAGCTCCCGTTTGTGCTAGGACAGATCCATCAGATTGCAGTTGAATCCATCCCATTTCTGGAGGCTCCCAGCCAATGTACGATCGACTAGTTAATTTATTATTATTGTGGGAATCATCAAGTGGGAAGTCCACTTGTTCATTAATATACTTTGCAATTCTCGTTGGTTGTTGTTGTTCTCGTTGCAGGCAGGCAGAGCCAGAGGCAGAAGGCTTTGACATTGGCACGTTGACTAGTATGAATCCGACGACGACCTCAGAACAACAACAACGAAAAAATAACGGCCGTCAACTGTTCAGACAAAGTACCATGTTCATGTACCCGTACGACTGAGACGACCGTAGCGGCAACCAACAGAATAACGCGTAATTAATTGGGTCAAATCGGACATGTTGGAAAGCAAAAGAGATGGGGGAAGCAAGACGCAAAACTCAAGTCAACCTCGTGTCACACAACACACAAGAAAGAAAGAAATACAATGGGCAGAAGAAGGTTTTGTAATATGCTCTTACCAACTACGGGAAGAGCAGGCCTCACTTTGTTGACGGCTCGGATGGAAGTTTGATATCAATATTTGAGATGTACTAGACTTAATATTGAATTCATTGGTATTCGATATTATTTGAATGTCGACTCTTTTGTATGATGTATGATATATTAATTTTGTATGTCATGCATGATACATGTCATGATGAAAAAAAGAACCATAGTCAAAATTTTCATCATTAACTAATCAAATGTTATGCTCTATTGGTATCATATTATAGGGTTCAGTAAATTTAAGTCCAAATCATGTTATTTCATTGTATCGAAGCCGTCAATACTGAATTTCACTCGCTTTTGACTAGTTTGGATCGGAATGGATACCTATAAGTTTATGTTCAAGAGACTCTGCCAAAAGAGGTGAGCTAGGGCTGACTCCAATGCAGCCGGCATTTATGGAATTCTCGGCAAAAATGGGGACTATCGCCATTTGGATCTCCATTTGTGGGGGAGGAAATGGCGATGCCCGACAAAAATGGGGATGAGACGGGCAGGCAGTTGTCCCCGCCACTAGCCCCTTTATTTATATTTTTTTTAAATGTAAATGGTTTTTTTTTTGCCAAAAAATGTAAATGGTTTAATCAGGGGGTTTATTGATTAGGAGTTTAATGTATAATGATTTAATGAGGATGATTATGGGTTTTAATGTGTAAACCCAAAAAATTCGTTCTCGAAATTAAAAAAAAATCTATCAAAAAATTTGTATTTAAAAATGATAACGAACTATATCAAAATTAACATGAGTAAATTAGATTAAGACGCTCGTAAGTACATTTTTAGTAAAGATAAATTAGAAAAGAGTGAGGTGTACAAATTTGAAGATGGCAGCAAGCGTAAGGCTCCAGGCCCATGGGCCATGGCTACAAATAATTTTTACCCAAACGTGGCCCGCAGTGGACAAAACTGGTGGCCTGAACTGAGCCGTCAAAATTAGCGGAACCAAGAAAAGAAATCACACCTTAGAACAAGAACAAAATTACCGAAGAGAAGTGAACCAAATTCTAATCAAACCTTCTGCCCAATCCCCCCGTTCGTCTCCCGCTGCCATGGCTTCTCTTCCACCACTCGCCCCATCATCCACCGTCGCCCCGCCTCAGCTCCGCCGTCAGCCCCCTTCCTATCTCAGCGTGAAACCCAACTCCGGCGAAACGTTTCTCAGCCGCCATGGCCGATTCACAAGAACAACAAGACCCAACCTATCTACTTCCGAATCGAATGTTGCTGCGGCAGTCGCTGCCACTCCCAGTCCCAAAATCGGTAACCCACCACCATCGATAAAACATACTACCACCGTGTTTATTGCTTTCCCCCAATGTTCATCTTGCCTGCTCTGTTTTTTCTTTTACAGATTATGGAGTCGTTGGAGTTCACCACGTCGGGATCCTGTGCGAAAACCTCGAGAGGTCGATCGAATTCTACCAGGGGATGTTGGGTCTGGAGATAAACGAGGCGAGGCCTCACGACAAATTGCCATACAGAGGCGCTTGGCTGTGGGTGGGCGCCGAGATGATCCACCTGATGGAGCTCCCCAATCCGGACCCTTTAACCGGACGCCCTCAACACGGCGGCCGCGACCGCCACGCCTGCCTCGCCATTCGAGACGTCTCCAAGCTCAAACAGATCCTTGATCAAGCTGGTAACTTTCCCATTTCAATTTCCCGCCTTCTTCAGTTTGCATTTGGGTTGTGGCCTGAGGCCATGTTTTGAATGGTTTGTGCAGGACATCCTTACACGCTTAGCCGGTCCGGGAGGCCTGCAATCTTCACGCGAGATCCTGATGCGAATGCGCTGGAGTTCACTCAAGTCGATTAACTCCTGAATGCCATTGGAATTTTCATATGGATGTATGTAGTAATCTGGATAAATGCAGAGTAGATGAATTATACAGCGCTGTACATAGAACCACTTCCCCCCTTCAAATATAATGCACTTCTCTTTTTCCCCTATACATGTTGTGTGTTTTGATTTTCTTTAACTAGTTCTGTTCGGATTTCCCCAAGTGTGTTGTGTATGTGTATGCAGTATGCTGTACATTTGTGCTGATAACAGTCATCATCAACTTCTAAGAGAAAGAAGAATGAATGGAAGGGGAAGACTGATGCTTTGATTGGCTATCGCGAATTCACGCGGGACATCCATGCCTTGATGGCTGTTTTCTCGTAGGTATGTGATTCGGGGGTCAATGCAGAATGTTGGAGCCGAAGCTTTGTCACTGGTGATATGTTGTGTGCATCTCCAGCCATGCCTTGATGGCTGTTTTCTCGTAGGTAAAACCATCAGCAACAATTTGAGGATCATCCATTACTTCCTGCAGTTGTATGAAGCAAACATTAGAGGGCCTTCGGTGCAGATCCTTGTTCAATTAAGGCTGTGTTTGTTTCAGCTTTAACAAGAAAAAGGTTGTTTGGAGCTCTGTTTTTGGCAACCTTAAGGATTGGACAAAAGCAGTAGCTTGGTGCATAGATGCTGCCTTTCTCTGTCATCATGCTAGCATCTGCTACTTCGCTGAGTCTTCTAAGAACTGGTAGCACTTGAGTGTCAAGGACTGGCCTGTCTCTGCAACGGAGCTTTACACAGTTCAGAGCAATCTGGGCAAGCTCCTTAGCTTCGACAAGTGGCCAATCAGCAATTGATGGATCCAGTGTTAGAGAGTGGTATAAGATCCAGCAGAACCTTCTCCCAACAACTCGAGTTATTGGGACCAACTGGTTCTTGACATGGTATCAGAGCCTAGAACCGAAAGGTCATGTGTTCGAATCTCCACGACCCCCAATATTAACTGCTGTCTTTCAAGCACATAGTATGGTGGGCCTGTGCAAACTTCAAGCCCATGGGTTGGCTTTCGTTTGAGGGGGCGTGTTAGAGAGTGGTATAAGATCCAGCAGAACCTTCTCCCAACAACTCGAGTTATTGGGACCAACTGGTTCTTGACATCCAGAACCTTGGCCAAGGTGTCACTTTTAAGTGCTTCTTCAAAACGGCATAGAGCTCTGATTTGGGGCGGATGGTCCCTGTCCTCTGGTACTCAGGGTTCATGTAAAAAAAGGGTTTCAGCGAGCATAGAGACTCTGTACTTGGTGACATTGTCAGGGACAACCTCAGTAATTGACTAATTTCTGTCTAACAGGATATTCTGTGGTTTCAGATCACGATGGATCACATCAACATGATTCCCAAAATAACATCACTTATACTATCCCGCTCCCGCCATGGATTAGATAGACACCAGGGCTAAGGACTATATTAGAAGGCGGAGAAGGCAGAATCAGATGATTGCGTTAGGGTTGAGGAGGAGAAGATGGAGCATCATTATTTATAGAGTGATGAATGAATGTGGCTTAGGAGGAAATTAGGGTTAAGGAAGAGAATATTCAATTCGGTCGTGCTTCTTCTGATGCATTCAGATCCCTTTTGTTCATTCTGGATTCAGGTAACAGCAAATGGAGGTTATGGTGGAGCATCATTATTGCACTTTCCCATGCAGAGACAATGAAAATGTGTCTAGACTTGGAATGAATAGATCCCTTCCAACCAGCAAGTATGTAGACACTCATAAATCCCTTACAACAATCATCAAATTTGACATCAACAATTTCCTTTATGTTATGAACTCAAAGTGGCAAATGCTGATGGATATTACTGGAGGTTTCCCAGCTCCCACGATTTGATGCGTATTGCGATCATCAGTCCAGCAGCGCGTAACTCTGTGTGGGCCGATTCTTTTGGGCAGTGTTCATGCTCCAAGCATTCAAGCTTGAGATTGCTACATCTAGTGTCCCATTGTTGAACACAAAGAGTCGAGCTTCTGAGTTAATGGCCAGCTTAGGATACACCCTGCTGCTGATACAAGTCTTCCCTCCCCCACCAAAGCTCTCAACAATAGAGTGATCAATCTGCAACATATACAGTAGTGACAAGCAACGTAAATCATATCGCCAAATTTCGTGCTGGAACTTTGGGATTATGGCATAACCTTATGCAAAACTCACCAGTGTTCGCAATGCAATCTTTTCGTGTTGAGGATCAATGTCCAGAAAAGCTCCGTAAGGGGTTTTGTCCAAACCGTCCCTCAGAGAAGACCTGCAATTTTGGCAGGCAACAATTCAAAAGTTCATGATGGAGTTCCCCATGTTACAGTACAGAAGAAGAAAGTAAGTTCGATGTTGTTATTATACCTTCTTTGATCACTGCACATGAGCACCACGAATCCATTACTGCCTTTGAATATCATAAAGAAGATTGCAGTGTGCTCAGTCAGTTCCTTTGTTGCTAAAGCCAGCAACCCAAATGGACCAACTCCGCCTCTAACCGATGCATTTGAGTCACTACAAAGTTGTTGGGGATCGGTCCCAGTAGTATCCAAGACCTCAGCTGACTCTTCTAGGCTGTGCAATTCAAACTCAATCTCTATATCTGCCTTGGAAGATAATAAGAAAGCATTTAAGTTGATAGACATGAAAAGAAGCCGGATTGATGAAGCACCATTGATGTGAAAATAACTCGTTATATGTAATTACCTGTGAAGCAGTGATGCCTTCAACTTCAAATACTGATCCACTATGCAGCTTTTCATCCAAGACTTGTACATGTTGGCCGCGTAATTTGTTCAATTCTTCGACTGGCCACTGGACTAGTTGCTTTCCACTACTGTGAAGCCATATTTCCCTTGGTATTGCCTGTAATGTAGAGTCACAGAGTATATGTCAGAACTTGATGCTTTCTTTTACTTCTTTCCAAGAAGAAGCCAAGTCAAAACCCAGAAGGGTATTAGCAGTAAGGAAACGAAAGGCCTGCTGCAAAACTCACCTGAACTCCAGCCCATCCCTTGGCAAGGTCATCTTCCATGGTGTCGGACTCATTCGCCCATCCCCATAGGATTCTCCTGCTCTTTGGTTGATCAAAGAAAGTCTTTGAAGCATAAAACTTCCCATAGTCATACCTCAAATCTGTACTACTACCTGTGTATTCATTGTCTGGAACATATTTACTAGTTTTAGGAGCATACGAGCCTAACACATAGTAATCATGCACATTACTGAACGAGCTGATCTTCAACACATGCTTAACGCTGGGATCTACAACCGACGTATCAACCCCGTTGCTACTATTAAGAGACACAGGGAAAAAATCAGGACATTCCCACATCCCAGTCCCCGGGGATGAATAGAGTGGGTGCTCAACTTTTGTCCAGCTAACAAAATCCTCACTCTGATACAGTATTGCCATCCCTTCATTTTTTATCAGGCCACCAACAATCACATTCCACTTCCCATCAGGACCAGGATCCCGCCAAGCAGTGGTTGGATCTCTAAAGAAGTCCCCTGGAACGCCCTGGGGAGGGGTCATGATGGGATTTCGTGTCGATTTCTCCCATTGCTCCAGGAGCGGGTCGGAGAGGTTCTTGGGGAATGCCAGGTTCTGAACCTGAACACCATTGGAATCAATGCCGGTGTACAGAATCATGGGTATGTTCCCCGGAAGAATGGTGATCGAACCGGACCAACAGCTCTTCATGTCGAATGGCTCGGTTGGGGTTAGGGCGAGATCGAGGTCGACCCAATGAATCATGTCACGGGAAACTGAATGTGCCCATACCATCTTGTCACCAAACAACGGACCTTCTGGGTTGTACTGATAGAACAAATGGTACATCCCATTATACCACATTGGACCTGCAGCAGCAGCAGCAGAAGCAAATGCATCTTTGAATAGGCCAGTTCAAACTTCAAACATATATGTGATCTTTGAAAGAGATCATAATACATCAAAGAAAGGAATTTGATGAACATACCATTAGGATCTGCAGAGTAAGAGAAACCCATCAATCCAGCACACACCAGATTAGACGACAATCGATTGAAAACAGAAAAAGATCAGAACTTTGTAATGAAGGGTCAGTGGATCAAAATAGAAGGAAAGAGGAAAAGCTCTCATAGTCAACGGGGTTTTTACCATTGAGCCAATTTTGGGGAGGTCTGAAGTGGAAAGAGGGCAGATACGGCTGCTGTTGCTCCAGAATGCGGCATTCCGAGTTCCCAGTTTCTGGGTAGCGGGAACCTTCAACGGCTTCATGGCAATGGAGCAGGACACAGCTGCTCAACGCAATAACAAGAATCGAAAGCATTTCCATGAAGTCGGACCTGTTTCAAAGGACTGATCTGAGAGCTGTTGCCACTTGCCAGTGACAAATAAGCAAATATATATTGGCGAAGAATGGAGATCATCGGGTCGTAAACTATTACTTTCTTCTTGTTTCTGCAGATCACGGTCTTATTTAATTCATATCCCAACGACCCAACAACGGGGGGGAATTATTCCATCCATTAACGTATTCGAGGAAAGGAGAGAGAGAGAGACCTAACCCATTGGTCAACTTGCGGGGAAGGAGCCAATCATTCCAATAACCAAAGAGCAGCTAGCAGATGTGTTTTGTAGTACGTTTCTGATCGATTCGAACATTGACAATTTTAGGTGAACTGAAGAGTGAAGATCGACCTTGATCAGCCGGCCAAGTGGCGTCACCGAATACCATCGATTTCAACGTAGTTTCAAAATGCCACAACTCATGTGGTATCGGTATGGTCCTCGTCTCCAAAGATTTTTTCCCCTAGAAATATCACCGTCTAACTAAATAATTACAAAAATACCAATCCTTTTCGAAGGGGTCGTTTGGAAGTTGTGATTGTTAAATAGATGTATTGTTGAGAATGGATGTATAATATTATACATGTATTGTTGAATTTGATGCATTGTAGAATACAACGTTTGGTATGTGTGATTGTGTATGTCGCATCAGCTAAAAGCTGAGACAAAACAATTTCAACTCAACTATCTCAACAATCACAACTAAAAGTTGAGATATAACAATCACTCAAAATGAGTGATAGTTTCTGTCACATCACAGAAACAATCCATGTATTGTTTCTGCTAAAAAACAAAAAAATGATGCATTGTAAACAATACATGCATAATGACAATCTCAACAAAACTATCGCAACTTCCAAACGACCCCGAATTAATTCTTTATATACCACTCTTTTTACATAAACTGACAGCTGACATGTAGGCATGCAGGGGTGCAAAAGTAGGGTTTGCATGTCAAGTGAAAACTGCCACCCCCAGCGGTTTTCAGTGGAATGCGGCGGGGGTGGCGGTTTTCACCTGACATTTTGCCTATAAAAGGCAGCCCCAAAAACCTCAGCTCTTCACTCCCTCTCCCTCTTCTTTAAAATTCGGTTCCCTACCTTTTTAGAGTTTTTGCAATTAATGTTACTTCGTAAGTTTGTTCGTAAGTTTGTTTTGTATTATTTTTATTTTGATTTGTGATTTTTAAATGATTATCATTCAAAAAGTATTCATGTGTATGTCTTTCACAAATTTTATGGTATTAAGCGAGTTACGATTTTATTGCAGATGACATTACGAAAGTTCACGCTTCGGTTACGGTGGAATGGTTACACTGAAGAGACTGGAAATAGGGTACGTTACATCGGTGGTGATTTTCAGAAATTGAAGGTCGATACGAGACCGAACCTTGAAGAGCTCCGTCAAATGTGTTCTACGGTTACTTGCATGGACGACACGAGATCGAGTTGATTGTATGGTGTATAGATATCCAAACAGAGAGGATGTGTCGTTGTGGCATGAGGAATTGTTCATAACCACTCAAGAGGAAGTTGATGGCATGCTCGAATTTTTGAATCTCAATAACATTTCCAAAGCAGAGATGTTTGTTTACACCAAGCAGGTTGAAGGCGGTGAAGGTCATTTTGGAGATGGTCAAACATCTAGTATCCACGGTGGGAGTGGAGTATATGAAGATCATCTCTATCAAGGTCACCATGATCATCATTCCTACCATGAGTACCAAGAAGGAGGTAGAGTTCATCATCATCAATCCTTCCCATCACATGAAGAAGAAGTCCAATGATACCATGATAACCAACAAGAACGCTACTAGTACCAACCCGAGTACAACTTTCATTTAGGCAACAGTAGTTATCACAACTACCATTTCAGAGCTGATGAAGGTGTCTTTCATGATCTAGACGATATGGAAGATGCGCTGCTGGGTCCAGTTAGTAACCTTGAAGACGAAGAAGAGGAAGGTAGCATCAGTGCAGACAACTTCGACCCTCTTGAAGGTGCTGATGATTCAGATTGAGATTCAGACTCGACTGATGAGGAGGTGTCCCGTGGACGTGTGACTATCACGTACTACATGGGCATTTCATATGAAAATTGATATGTTGATGCCGACATGGAGCCGCCAGAGGTGCCAATATGGGGTCCAACCACTGGGCTAAGAAGGGCCAACAATTTGGTATGAAGAAAGAGGTGTGGCACGCTGTTGACACTAAAGCAATGAATCGGAGTTTTGAATGGTGGTGCACAAATCATTCTAACAAGAGAAGGCTCATAGTTAAATGCCAGAATCAACACGAGGAATGCAAGGCTAGGGTCCGTGCCATCAGAAGCAAGAGAGTCAAACCCGACAATCCTCTCTGATCGCCACACCGGGATCAAAGCTGCCATCTTCAGCTTGGATCCAGCGTGGAAGTGGTCTCAGAGGTGGTGCATACTCTGGCGACCAAAGGTCAATCTGTTCTTGTTTGGATTGGATTGTTCCCAATCAGCCACTTTCTTTCTCACTCCAAATAGTGACTACACATTCCAATCAGCCACTTTCTTTCCCACTCGTAATCGAACCCAAAGACATCACTTACCTGATAAACATACGGTGCCGGGGCTGACTTCGTCGATTTAAATTCCGATCATGTAAAGGCTTTGAGTTGGGGTTTGACCGTCTGGGTGGGAGATCATAGGAGACGAAGTCAGTCTTAACGAAAGAGTCCCCCCATCGTTTGCTGTTTTCTCCACCGTGATCTTAGTCGCCGGTCAAAGAAGTCGAAGATGATGATAAAAGTCAACATTAGTTCAATAGTTGTTTTTGTTCGTATTATTTTTATTTCTTATTTTTGACAAGTTTGTAACAGAAAATATAGATGGCTCAACTCTCCAAGGATGAAAGTGATGTTACGGAATTGTCCCTTTTGTGGACACATTGAAGAATGGATTGACGAAGCTTGCATGGACTGGGTACTACCCATGTGTATTCAAAAACCGCAGGTACGAGGATGAATTTGTAAAACCTTCCACCACATGGGTATGGGGTGGATATTGGTTTGGTTAATTGAAAATGGGAATGAGGCTGGTTTAGGCAAACCTGCCCCTTGCCATCCCTATGTCAACCTATGTGGTGGTTACTAGAGAAAATAATAATAATAATAATAATAATAGGGTGAATAGTATTTTATATCCTTTGCTATTGCAAGTTAACAAACATAGTCTTCCAATGGGTATCCGAAAATCAAATATGCAATTACCGGTTGGGTGCCACATTGAAGAATAGATTGACGAAACTTGCACGCACTGTCCCTTTTGTGGACTCCCTGAAAATCAGCTCCATGCCCTCCGAGAATGCAGTTGGATTAGGAGTAGATGGCAGTCATGGGAAGAAAAGAAATTGTTTGAGACCGGAGAAGGAAAATCGTGTATTGATTGGCTCAAGGAGATATGGAAAAATTCAACAATAGAACATATTTAGAAGTTTAGTGTTGTGCTTTGGTACATGTGGAAGGAGAGATGTAACCACCTGAACAACAACCATAAGATTGACGAAGACCAGATCATCCCTGAAGCTTTGGGTTGGCTGCAATCCTTCATTAAAGCCCGAGCTCCTATGTTTTCGGGCGGAGCTGCATGCCCTAGTAGATCCGAAGGCTGGTGTCCTCCCCTCGAAGATTTCTTCAAGCTGAACTCTGATGCGGGTGTTTTTAAACAGATGGGGTGGGATTCGGATGTGTGATCAGGGATTAGAGGGGAAACTTTTGCGGTGCTACTGCGAAGAAGGAGAGGGGTGTCTGCAGATCTATTGAAGCTGAGGCAAAAACAATCTTGATGGGGATTCGAGAGGCTAACTGAAGAGAAATCAGCCCTCCGATTGTTGAATCGAACTGCCAGAGGTTCTGCAAACTTGCCAAGGATGAAAGTGATGTTACGGAACTGTAAATTTGGTGTGATAAGATCAGGAAACTGGCTAAGATCAATGAGTCTTTCTCGGGGTTTCCTACGATCTGGAACTTCACTCCAAGGAAGAACAACAACCCAGCTCACTGGCTGGCTCATTCGATCTCCTACAGGGATAGACAGTTAGTTTGGGTAGATAATCCACCTTTGTCACTTCTTTGTGTTTTTGAGGCCGATCTGGGCCGATCCCGTTTAGGCCAGCTTTAAACTTTGAATGAAAAGCCCACAGGTTACTATAAAAAAAAAAATCCTTGGTGAGGCGGGTTTGGATATGGGTATGGGGCGGGGGAGTCCAAAACAATACCCCCATCCCCATCAACCTTTTTGCGGGTTTTATCCATACCCGCCCCATACCCCATCAAAAAGGGAATTCTCCACGTTGACTGGATCGGAGGAAGTCAGGTACCCGCCACCATGGATTTGATTGGTTGACAATTGGGTCATCCACTAACCAAAGGCAATCGTTCCTACTAGGCTACTATTGCCATTCAGTCAGCGCATTCAATTGTTGGTGAAATAATATAATTGTAATTACTTTGGGAATAATGCTGGAATATAACATAACCTCCCTAGGGGTGCAATGCTGACCCTGAAAACCCGAAGACCCGACCCGACCCGTCCCTAAGGGTCGGGCCGGGTCTATTTGCATAGAGGGACAACTTTGGGACGGGTCTTCTCCTTGTCCCTGTAAGGGTCGGGTCAAACTGTACTCTGTCCCTAAAAAAGCCCATCTGACCCGAAACCCCACTTTAGACCCGTAAAAATTTGAAAACTAAAGAGAACAAACACTTCTCCACTCTCCATTCCTCTCGATTACTTTCGTATTTCCATTGACCTAAAACCATTCAATCTTCACCCTTCATTCTCGGCGACTGCCGGCGATTGTCGTCCGGCGTCGACGCCCAGTCCTCCTTCTCCAACCGCAAGGACGATTGCCTTCCTCGTCGGCCGCGAGGGCTTGGAGAATCCCTTCACGAACCCTCCATCCCTCTCATCCATTAACCCTAAAAGCTCGACTGATTGTTGCGGTAAGTATCCTCTCCTTTGCTGTGTTACAAACCTCGATTGATTGACCAACGAACCCCACTAGGGTGTTTTCTTTTCTTTTCATTTTGTTGTTACTTTCTTCCGATCCTTTTGAAAACCCAAGAAAAGGTACGATGGGGGAATTTGATTCCTTTTTGAGTGGGTTGTGGACTGTGGATAGATGGCTGGCTGTTGTTGTAGTAGTAATTGTCGTTTGGACTTTTGGAAGGAGGGTTTGGGATTTGAGATGAGGGAAAGGGAGTAAGGTGAGAAGAAGAGGATGATGAAAGCAATTTGGGTCAACACAGAGTTTCCCTTTCAATTAATCTAAGGGAACTATTATTACTCCATTTGTAGTCTATTATATTCCCTATATATGTCCGTCTGGTCTGTTCTTGTCTTTCTAGTTCTTCTCTCAAGTTCATGGGCATGTGGCATACTTCAGATCATCCCTGTTCTTCTGTGTTTTTTGCTTTTAACCTTTCCTGGTTATGAATTTACCACTGGGTATTTTCTTTATGGCAACCCTTTACTGATTCAACTATGATACTTGGAATGTAAATTAAGTGTAGTAACTGGTTGCTAATTTTGTGTAGTAACTTCCAGAACACAAAAATTGTTGTTATATTGTCTCTAAGCAAAATTGGTATTGTCTAATTCTGGTACAGCCGGCATGATATCGAGGCGATCAATGGAGCATGGGGGATGATAGCCATAGGTCTCACAGCAGGTTTGGTCATTGAAGGTTACTCTGGGAAGACCATAATAGAACAGGTCAGTGATGAGGTCTCTATCTATCATATTAATCTGGATTTACTCTTTTGAAGTCTTGTTGATAACTTGACTGAGTTGTTTCTCCCTTCAGTTGGTCGGGTACTTGTCTACCATCTTCCCTATTGGGGCTCCTTTGATAACATCAACCCTTTGCTGTTTATTGTTGTGGTTCTTGACCCGAGGTACAAGTTGGAGTATGTTTGTTTTGCGCTTGATGAGGTTTATGGGATAGAACATGGGGGAATTTGGACTAAAGCTGAGTTGTTTGAGAGTGTGAAGGGATTTTTGGAGGATATGTTTAATGACTATTCGGAAATGAGAGGGGTTACTTGTGAAAGCTCATCAAGAAGTGTTGATGAGAGGGGTTACTTCCAATCGACATGGAAGAGAATTTTGAAGAAATCGAAGAACTTGAACAAGGTATGAAAAGTAATTTGTTTTTAACATTCACTATTTTATTTAGATCATTATTAATTTATTTGATGTGTTGTTAATTTTGCAGAGTTGAAAGAGTCTTGCTTGGATGATTGTACTATCATGAGTGATTTAGTTGACGATGATTGAAGAATGGTGTGGTTGATTATTATCGAACAATGATGTCTTGTGTGATCATGAGTATGATGTACTTGACTATTATCGAATAATTTTTGGAATATTTTGGTGATTAATTAATTTTTTGGAATTAATTTGATGAATAGATAATTTTATGAACAGAGATTCGTAAATAAAATGATTTTTTGAAATTAATTTCGTAATTGATTAATTTTCTGAAATAATTTCATAAATAAATTATTTAACTAATTAATTAATTTTCTGGAATTAATTTGATAAATAAATGATATTCTAGAATAAATTGGGTAAATAAATAATTTTCTGGAATTATTTTGACAATTGATTAATATTTTGGAATTATGTTGGTGATTAATTAAATTTTTGGAATTATTTTGGTGATTAATTAATTTTTTGGAATTAATTTGATGAATAAATAATTATCTGAACTGAAATTCATAAAAAAATTATTTTTTGAAATTAATTTCGTAATTGATTAATTTTCTGAAATAATTTCATAAATAAATTATTATATGAATTAATTAATTAATTTTCTGTTTTTTTTTATAATTTGGTATTTAATTTTGTGTCGGAGAGGGTCGACCCGCTGACCCGTTCCGTCCTGACCCTAAAGGGTCAGACAGGGTCAAGAAGAGAACAGGGACGGGACGGGTCGATTATGCAAGCTGTCCCTTTAGGGACGGGACAGACAGAGTCAGGGACGGGACAGTAACGGGACAGGCAAATTTTCAGCCCTAAACCTCCCACCCCAAATGTGCAATGATCACACCAAACAACCAAAATTAAAGAGCCATAAGCAATTACAAAACCCTCCATAACAATGCCAATAATTTGGAGAGATCAATCCCTATAAATAGACCAGGTTTTTCTTATCAGCAAAATCAAGTACTAGGGTCCCTAGTACATCACCGTCTTCCTTTTTTTCATCGGCTTCTTGACAAAATGTCAAATCCGGGTCGCCGGAAGATTCCGATCCGGAAAATACCCAACAAGAACCGTTTACAGGTAACCTTCTCCAAGCGCCGCGCCGGACTTTTCAAAAAGGCTAGCGAGCTGTGCACCCTGTGTGGGATCCAAATCGCCGTCATCGTTTTCTCTTCGGCCGGCAAGGCTTACTCGTTCGGACATCCTGCGGTTAGGGATGGCAATTTCGACCTGACCCGATTTACCCGACCTGTTTGACCTGTTTTGGGGCGGGTCAAACCCGCCCCGTAAGCGGAGCGGGACGGGCATGGGTACCTCTCATCGACCCGACCTGCCCTGACCCGCCCCATTCTAGACCCGTTCTTGCCTAAATTACATATAATCTTAGTCAAATTACTTAAGATTTTCCTCTTATTACATTATATTTTAGCTATAATAAAGTTGTAAATAAGTGAAAAACTCAATTTCTTCAGTAATTTAACTACATTTTATCATATTATGGTTTCTTTCTTGGTCTTTCAATGAAAAGAATGAATATTTCTAAATTTTTTCACATAAATTACATACCCAATGGGTCGACCTGCCCCGACCCGCGCTCCGTAATAAATTACCCAACCTGAACCCGACTTGCCATGGGGCGGGTATGGGTATCGAAATACCCGCCCCGGACCTGCCCATTGCCATTCCTACCTGCGGTGGGTCCGGTTGTCGGCAGGTTCTTGACTGATCGCAACCAAATTCCGTTCGGCGGAGGCCTTGTTAAGGCGGGCGATGGTGGGCCGAAGAACGCGCAGCTGGCTCAGATTCTCACCCAACTGGAACTGGTGGGCCAGGCGATGAAAGCCCAACAGAACTGTTGGACGATATATCCAATTGATGAACTTGGGCTTGATGGGCTTGTGCAGTTGAGAAACGATTTGGAAGAGCTGAAGTTGAATATTGTGAAGCAGCAGCAGCATGGAAGTTGCTGCTATGAACCATAATTCTTCGTCCCAATTTCTTGAGGTGCTGAAGTTTTCTTCGATAGGTGGCTACAAGTTTTGAACCGAAACCTCAACGGATCGACGTGAATAATATTGCTTCATTGCTCGACAAACTACAACGATATCTATATCACATTGACGCTATAGTTTCCAAATCAACAAACCGTTACATATTTGAACTGACACTACATTTCGATTAGAGCCCCACTCGCTCTCAGTTAGCCTATATATGAACAAGATATGTAATGCTCAATTAATTGATTCGATTCCGGAAAAACTCGACTGCAGCTCAACGACAATGCAGTAAGGGACTGATTCGCTTGGTTCGGATCCTAACTTCAGGAAGCTTAATCAAATGGTTTGCTGCATAAACAGCAGAATTCTATGGGGGGGGGGGGGGGGGGTGGGGGGGGGAAAGAATACATCACCATACGTATACTATACACTAGACTAGCGAGCCGATCACAAAATTTAGCCCTGATGAGCGCCTACTGAAATGACACACAGTATTTACAGTGCACCTTAGTACGAGAATGCTCAGCTTCGCCCCCTCGATTGACTCTCGACCAACATCTCATGACAACATTACAGTCTCCCCCTGCGAACCTGCCATGTCAAGAGAGCCTGTATTTTAGAGCTTTGCTTTGCTTTGCTTACTTGAGACTCAAGGTTGGCAGACAATGAAACCGAGAAGAAAATAGTAATCATAAACAAAACCAACAAAAGTGTTCTGCTTACATTTTTCAAATATCTGATTGGCGAGTTGCAAATTTGATTCCGATTCTTCAGCGAATTCCAAAATCCTTTCCACTTCCTTCACAGCTTCAGCGGCCACAAAGGATTTGTTCTCTGCTTCGGCGATTCTGTATGCAGCAGAAACTGCTGCTTCTTCCACGGTTTCATCCGAGGTAACCAAATCAGTGCTCTTCAACGGTATAGGTTTGACTTCCTTCTTCGGAGAAGATGCTTGTGTGACGGGAGGTGCATTTGTAACAGTGGTTGGGTCGCTTTCCTTGAACCTATACGAATTCTGAATCTGCATAACATAATACATCGGCCAGCACCCAAACACCATTTTCAGTAGAACTCACATCACATATAACGATTCTCATCTATCTGAATTCGACAAACAAAGAAGAATTTGCCAACTCTAATATGTAATCTTTTGCTGAGGTGAAATAGACATGCAGTACTTCATTGAAGAACAGTAAAGAAACATAAAACAGCAATCAGAAGCTAGAAATATTTGCCACTGGGAACATTAATAAGAACTGAAACTCTAAAACCAATTCAAGATTTTACGTATTTTCCATTTTCTTCCTTTTTATTTTCTGGAAGGGTGCACATTGCGGTCAGATGAGTGTTTTTATTAGCGTTGGAGATGTAGTTGATAATTCATCAATGCTATGCTTTCTTATCAACCTGTCATTCTTCTTACCAATCAAAAAGAAGAAAAGGGTATGGGGAAACAAATCAGTAGTTGGAAACTAGATCTTATATAACATTCTTTGTCTATACATACAGGCAAAAGAAGAATGAAGTGGAACACTTTAGTTCAATAGGGAGAGATGGGACGTGCATAGTTACAAAAAAAAAAAAAAATGAGAAGTCATCGACGAGTGGCCATTGAAAAACAGGACTACCAACCTTTTCAAGTTTTTCCTTTTGAACCAAGCGTCTCAACCTTGAAGTTACTTGCTTCCTACCATTTTGTGGCAATTCTTGCCTTTGCTGCATATATCATTCAGTAAACCACAAGAGATGCCTTTTCAGTCACAAAACATGAGAAAAGGGACACCACAACAAATATATAAGCTGCACAACATGGGAACAGGTACTCATGTTTCTAACACTTAAGAGGGTAGGTGGTGTTCTTATGGTGAGACCAACTGAAACTTTAAGCGAAGATAATGACATGGTGACTGAGATTACCATCATACCTCAATGAAGCTGATAATTGCACTGATATCAACAACATTTGTCTCGACTCGAGTCAAGGCCGTAATTGCTTCAAATATCATTGGATCATACCTGTACAAAATTTAACTAAAGTCCATTAGAGATTACAGATTTCATTGAACAGAGCAGTGTGCCTTATAACTAAATGGAATAACGAGAAGTTAGTTGTAACATCTAGTCTACTGGATGCGGAGTACACTGCCTTGCAACTGAAGATTCGTCGATTTATATCATTTAGTTATCTTCTATGTTACCACCGAAGATCCTACTCACTCATACACTGTCCCTCCATCTTCGGTAATCTCAACCCCCAAGCTGAGGAGTGAAAAAGTAGGCTTGAGAAATCGAATCACTAATCAACCTTTTACCCTAAAGAGTTCAACAAATCCTTGGAGAGGTCCAAACAAGCCTTAAGGTTTCAGTGAGCTGGAGTGCTCGATGAGTGAAAAGGTAAAATTGTAGGCCTTTCTAAGCAGACTTGAGAAATCGAATCGCATTCCATGACACAAAAGATTTAACAAAGGCAACTTACGGCCCAGAATGGAAACAAGGTTGGTTGCCCAGAGGGAAACCAAGATATAGTGAAACAAGCATTGCACTGAAACGGTAAGCCAACCACTTCAGTTTCAGAGACTGAATGAATGCTTCCCTTCAGGAGGCGTGTCAGGGTAAGTGATTATCCAAGAAACTAAGATAGCCGAACTGAGAAAGGACAATGGTAATAGAGCATTACTTGGAAGCAATTTTCACCTCAGTACCAAACATAATCACAGGCTTGGTATCCTCCATTGTTACATCGGTCGAGGTAGGCGCAATCGCAACAGCAGCAGGAGCTGGAGCTGGAGCTGAAGCAGCAGCTGGGGTGGGAGCGGGAGCTTGAGCAATGGGCATTGGCACTGCTGCGGCCACAGAAGCATCGGCGGCGGCGAATTTGGGCTTCGGCGTCCGGGATTTCTCGCCGGAGCCAACGCTCATATTCCGCCATTTGTCCTGTGAAAAGCGAAAAACAGAGAGACGATAAAGGCTTACTCGATTTGCAAAACGCCATAAACAAACCACAGCGCAGGGCGAGAGATAGAGAGAGAAACCTTGAGATCGATGTTGGAGCGAGTGGAGAGGTGGGGATTGAACTCCGGGTCCTGCTGAATGTTCTTCCACTTGCCCGTGCCGTGTTTGGCTACCCCAGCCCGCAGAGCTTCTTCCTCCTCCGCCGTCCATTTTTGTTTCGGATTCCCCATCTCTTTCGTTCTCTTATTTCCTTGCTCCACCCAAAACACGCCGGCGAATTCCTTCAGCTAAACCTGAGATGTTTTGTTCACGGCGGTGACGCTTGCCGCCTAACTGTGTTTCTTCTCTCCTCCTTGGCACCGTCTCCTCCGCCAAGCCAGCAAAATCAAAAGCCCTAATTGCGAGAAACAAGCGACGGCATCGTTTGAAACCGACTTATGAAACGACGCCGTGGAGTGTATCGGGGGCCGCGGAATATGGCGGCGGTAAGAAAACTTAAGAAAAGTAACAAAAGCGAGAATCGAAAACACGACACACGATTTACGTGGTTCACTAACACGATGTGTGTTAGCTACGTCCACGGGCGAGAGAGAGCCGATTTCACTATATCAAGGAGATTACAGATTACAGAGGAGTATGAGAAGTATTTATAGTATTTCTCCATGTGGGTCTAAATCTAATCCAATCTGACAAAGGAAACGGTTACAGACCAGGCCCAGAACCCGAACCCAAATAACATTGAGCCCATACCCCCGATTACCAGTCGTAGCGGCTGATAGTCCGATTCAAGTCATATCAACAAGAAGATATGAGGAAAATACAAGCAAAAATTAAGAATTTAAAATATTTAATTAGTACAGAATTGTTACAAATTTTGTTTTGTTTTAAATGTGTTTTCTCCTCTTATTAATTCACCTTTTATAGTAACTTTTCTTAATATTTACCAACATCATAATAATACTTTGGGTATTATGCATATTATTTTTTTATTTACCGTTTGCACGTGCTTTCCCGCGTTAAAATATAAAATATAAAATAAAAAAAAACTAGTCGTTCGGGTAGCGTCAATACGAAGCGGGAAGGAACTTGCAGGCCCTGTGTTCCCGCGCTAAAATTCTAAAAAAATTGTGACCGTTTGGGAATCGTCAATAAAAAGGGAAGGAAGCGCGGGTCTGATTCCATTTCACTTCTTCCTTTTTCCATAATTTCCCTTTTCTCTTCTCCGCCGGCCGTCTCTCCCTCTCGCTCAACCTTCCACGTCAAGTTCTTGATCTCTCTCTCGTCGGAACCATGCTGTCATCGAACTCCGGCAACGACGGCTCCCCGTTTGGGACTCCCAGTCCGGTGAATCTAAATTCCGCTTCGGTAGCTGATCGATCGCCTTCTTCTCCAACTTTACTTCACGATCATCGCGGTTCGCGCTCAGCCTCTTCGCTCCAGGTATCCCCAATTCCACTCGCTCTTTCCGATTTCTATTCCTGTCTAAAAAATTTGGTTGGGTTTTGAGATTCTCCGTCTTCGTTTTACGAACTCGGAGAACGAAATGCCCAAATGGGTCAGGGGGATGAATATTGCGGAAACCCTAATTTCTTACGGAGAAACCCTAAATTAGCTGAATCGTTTCCCCGACCAATTGGAGGTTGTGCTTTGTTTGTGCTGATGGTGTTCGTGTTTTTTTGTTGGGTTTGGCAGGGAGAATTCTTGACACATGGTGCTAAAAGGAGGAGGAGAGAACAGGTGCTGAGTGGCGTCGGAGGAACCAGGAGGAAGCTCAACTTCTGTGATTCCCCTCCTGAATCGCACGAATCACTACCTCCACAACCGCCACCAGCGGCGGCTGCATATCGGTTTGATCTCAGCGACCGCAACATCACCGGATCGCCATTTCATGTTCCTTCGGCAAGTGGAGTCAAACTCCGCTGCTGCTCCACTGATCATTCTAGTGATCATCGTGGCCAAATGCTCCATGATGCTTCTGTAAATCGGCTATTTGCAGGGTCAGAGTGCTTACTGCCAACGGGGAAAAGATTTATCGACTGGATCCGGATAGTTGATAGATTTATCATCGGGGAACTTCGGAGGGTGAAGCACAACACTAGCGCGAACAAGAAGGGGGCGAAAAGGGAGAGAAGGATCCGCATTCTCATGTCTATGCGGTGACTAGCTGATTACTCATATATATTTGTGAGTCGTGCAGGGAGGCAGGCAAGCAATGTGATTTCCACTAAAGGGAATGGAAGGGAAGTATGTATATACATTGCTTAATTGTTCACTCAGTCTATAACTTGATGCATTTTAGGTTCTTACCTATTAACCTCTTGTTTTGATGAGCTAACTAGTACTGCTACTCTACTAGTACTACTTGCTTGTTTGGTTTCTTCAGTATGTGTTTGCTTCTTGAAGATGCATGCTTGTGCACCTCTCAAGTGAACCAGATTTTCAACAAGCATGCTCCAAACTCAGGAGGGGAGCTGTGGTACATGACTGAAGGGAAGATCTTCGACTTACCCTTTGCCTTCTTTGGTTGACAGATATAGCCTATTATCATTTTGGAATCTCAAAATCGGAGCTGAAAATGCTCTCGGTATTTTCAAGTTCTCAGTTTCTGATGAAAGCTCTGTTGCTCCTGTCAGGATTTTGCAGCTGCCAAACTTTGAGTGGGCGATTCTGCACTGCACATGCTCGATCGTGGAAATGAATGATGAAGGGCACCTGTTGGCAAGGAATGGTAGTAGTTCAAATTAGCACATTGATTGCGGAGGAAGACTTTTTGCTTAGTTAGCTCTAATTGTTATTTCAAGTCGAGTCTCTGGTTAATTAGATGTAATGCTCAGTTCAGTTGGTCAATCATTCCACGAACCAGGCCAAGCATTTCAATTTTTAGTTGGGTTCTGTAGTATGGATAGGTAGCTAGCTGCTGATTATTCGGTCTGATAGTCTTTGTAATATCACCCAAAAAAAAATTAAGCACGGCAGACTCTGTTCTTGCAGAGCTATTTGGACCGTTGGTGTTTCTCAAAACTAATGCAGTGTTGCAGACCAATTCGCTCTTAGTTTGATCATGGTTTGGTAGTAAATCTTCTTGGTTTTTGCATAAAGATAAGGATTTATGTGACAACTACATTTTTATAGCAATCATGGATCAATAGACGTCTCACTTTAGTTTTGAAGAACACTTTAGTTTTGCACGGTTTTCTGCATTCGGTTCATCATCCAATCCGATTGTTGAAGGGCAGAGAACGAATTCATAATTACATTATCAACACATCATCGTAAGCCGAATTCCCTCAATCTAATGTTCTTGAACAGTTTAGTATCCATTAATCTCAAACTTCAATTGTTCAAATACGAAGTGCATACAAAGTGCCCTTAAGGCCTGCAGCACCAACAAGAGAAACTACCTGACAATATTACAAACTCAGCATCGACAGATTCCGGCGAACTCAAAATGTTATTCAATCACCCACATCAACATCCATATAACCAACAACCAACATTGTGTAAACTTTCATGGGCGACATACAACCAGCTAAAACATGAAGATAAGAGCAAACAAAACTGTTCTGGGGTAACAATCCAATGGTAACTGGAAAAATCCATGTAAGATCCCCTACATCGACCATGAACTACAAGAGAACCAGACCAAGTTCAGATGGCCGAAGTGCCTGCTGCAAACGGTAGTTATAAAGGTAATAGTGAAGCTGCCCGTCACCTGGCCCGAATTTCAGCTCCTTCACAAACGACTCATTGAACATAACATCGAGGGCGTTGAAGACATCAAAATCCTTCTGCTTGGCTACTATCAGCGCATCATTCATCAACTGTAGTAATGGGGTCTTGGTGGGGACATTGTAATAGGAATAAGCAGCTTTCAAAGTCGAGTAGTTCTGATTGCCGAGGATAGAGGACGGCAGAGTGTAAAAGCTGCAGAAGTCAGTGATCTCATGAGTCTCTGGGCTCTCAACCACGAAACTGTCAATGACATTCTCGACCGGGCGAAGCCAGTGCTCAACATCGTCCTCGTCAAAATCAGGTGCAACAACAAACTGAGCCAAGTAGTTCCTAAGTAACCGAGTGACAGCTGGCACATCACGCAGCTCCATTTTTCTGAATCCAGGAGTAACCGGTGAATCTGGCAACTTGTAAAGCTTTATAGTTCTGCTCATTGTCATCCTTGCACCAAGCCTGGAGAAGCCGACATCAATAAGCTTCTTGGGGTTCAACGACCTGTGCCAATACTGAGCAGTGGTTACTGGTGTTGGCAGAACCACACCAGCTGTATAAGCTGCTTGCCAAATGTTCTCCAAATGAACCCTCCTAGTGACCTCTTTGATCATGACCGGTGCAAGCCTCTTTGACCTTAGTTTCTTATGAACACACAGGAAGTTGACCTCAGCCATCTTCACCACTTCCCCACGTACCCTGATCCTTGCTGGAATCCCCGTGATGAAAGCAACAAGCTTTTTGGAAGCTTTAGCACGTACCCCAATGTGCCAGCTCTTATAGTAGCCGGGAGGGCGCAACGCCCAGCTGAGGAACTCCTTGGAGTAATTGAACCTGAACATGTTCTCATCATCCTCAACATAGTTGTTCTTCAGCAGAGCATAGACCTCATTGCAGGTCTCATCAGACTCCATGTCACAAGTAGTCCACTCATATTGTGCAGGCAGGTTGTAAGGCTCTTGTTTGACCTCGGACAAAGGAGTTGCTGGCTCAATAGGTCCCTCAGGCAAATCCGTGACTCCGACATCCTTGAACTGCCCCACTGGTTGGGTTTCCCAAAACTTGTGTTGCTTGCCTACAGAAATCGAGTCCTGAAACTTTCGAACTATGGTTTCGAGGGAGTTATCCTCCTGGGAATCACTAGGGTTAGGAGTCTCGGAATCATGATCTGGGTTTTCCTTTTTAGGCGAGGAATGATCATCGTTGTTCTCGCCCATCCCAACAGACTGAATCTTAGCAGCAAAAGCAAGTAGTGTGGAAGCTAGAGTATCTGGAAATCCTTCTCCGGTCAAGAAAAGCGAATATGCAAGAATAAGCTCGAAATTAATAGGCGTGCGAAATAGGAAAGCGGAAGCGCACCATCGAAACAAAAGCAACCCAAGGAATATAATAGAATGAAGGATTGGAGGGTGATGGATTCAAAAGATTCCGAAGAACCCAGAACAAAATCAAACATCTTCAGTCAATGGGTTGTTGCAATTTCCAATTACAGTTACCAGTTGAGGATTCAAAGATCAAGAAAATGAATGAGCAAACAGATCTACCCTAGAGTGAGTGTGTAGACAAAGTTCGGTTTACTCACAGCAAGTCGGGCGGAGGGAGCAGAAGGAACGGGCGGCGGCGGATTCCTCGACTGTGCTCGGATAATTGGAAGCGATTAGATCGTGGAAGTTACCATCTCCGCCGACTCGATTCTTTGAGTGAGAGAGTGACGACGGAGAAGTCGGAGTGCGGCTGAGGGACGCCAATTTGTTTCCGAGGCTTTTTCTTTCCAGGCTTTAGCACCGTAATAACTAATACGACACGGAGTATCACCGTAATACGACGCCCATATTAGCTTGGACTAGTCCAAAACGCCATGCCGTTTCCCTTAACGATCCCATTGCATTACAAAAGAAACAATAATACATAAATACTGAAAAACAATACTGTTGAAGCCAAGATACTCTCCCCTCCACGTGTCTCTTCCTTCCGCCCCACGCCAAGCGCTTGAACCCTGCAGGACGGGCGCCTAGAGGGCTAAACCCGTCCGTTAGCACTCCAACGATCAAGTCAGGTGCGACTCTAGAGAGAGAAGTGAAGAAAGAAGTTTAGTGTGAGAAAGACCGACCTGCTTAAATGCTACCTACCAAGTGCTATTTATACTACTCGAGCTTCTCGACCAAGCTCCGACCAACTTCTGCCACCAAGACTCATGTCAGCCTAGCATTAAATGCTCGGTCTCCCCTGGCGCCTACGCGCCTACACGTGGCATATCGTCCATTTTCCACGTCGGGGCGCATAGGGGGACCACTTGCCTCGTGGCGCCCTTCTGACCTTGTCCACCTGTACTCCCTTGTCTGCGAGCCTATTTTGTCGTCATGCGCCCCTTCTCCTCTATAGTCATCTAGGTCACACCCTTATGGGCCATAAATGGGCTTCAGGCCCAACAGGCTCCTAACTTTCATGAGCTCTTTTCCACTATCCCTACAAGGCCCAATAGGCTCTTAACTATCATGGGCTTCTCTCTTATTACCCCAACAATTGCCCCCCAGTTAGGTGTTCACTGGTGAGCGCCTAACTATGACCCCGGTCAACCTGAGGCTTCACAGCGGTCGCGACGATAAAATGCCTTGCGCTTCTCAACGATGGAAGGGGCGCTTAGGGTCACCTTGCCCCCCTCTCCTAGTTTAAGAAGACTTTCTCCCCTTTACGTTTACTTAATCGATCCCCCAGTTTCCTTGCGCCTGCCTCCAATGGGCCTGCGCCTAATAGGTGAAAGGGGCGTTCAGGGTTGCCTTGCCCCCCTCATCTAACTAGAACAAATTCCTTTCTTTAATCTTATTTAATCTACCCCCAAGGCGCCTCGACTTCGATCCTACCAGGCGCATGACGCCTCGACTTCGATCCTACCAGGCGCATGACGCCTCGATTTTTGATCCCAACAGGCGCATGACCGTACCTTCTGCCCCCCACTCGTCGTGCGTTCAAATTTTGAATTTCAAAATTCAAATTTTGAACGGAGGGCGAGGATTGGATTGTTCCGCGCGCGATTTCCGAGGTGACTCTTCACCTCCTCCCTTCCTCTTATAAATATTTGCTCTCCTCACCATTCCCCCCATTCGCCCCAAATCTGCTTCTCTCTCTACTTCCTCTCTCTAGCTGCTCTCCCTCTTTCACACCCACACGCCTGCCGCTTTCGTGTCCCGTGCGCCTTTTTTCGTCTCGTCAACATGTCGCGATCTGACTCCGGCACGACCCGCACCGCCACGGACAAGGAGGGGAACCCGGCGCCGAGCGTTCTCGATGTGCTCGAGAAGCACCTATCGCCCGATCCGCTACGGAATCAAGATCAACGAGCGTCTCGCTCAACTAAGGAGGCGCCTAAGAAGACAACGCCCACCCCTACCGCTTCAGCGCCTGCCGCGACGGAGGCGCAATCATCGGCTAAAGAGGCCACGCACGCGCCTGAAGATACAGAGGCGCCTTCTGAGTCCACGGCGACGGCCTCGACCACTAACCAAGGTAGTTTCCTCATACACTTCTATTTTCCAAACCTTGCGCTTTTTCGTTATTCCTTTGTTAGGCGCCCATTAGCAATCTTAGGCCCGTGTCATTGACCGAGGGCGATTGGATCACTTTTAGGCTCCGCGCCTACCTCAGATGCCGCGCCTACCTCGTCAGAATCGGGTGAGTTGCAGAATTCTCCGGCTTCTACCCACTCAGGCGCCCCTGAAGATGGGTCCTTCAAGATAATTGATTGGGCTGATACCTGGCCGCAAGGTGGGGCGCCTGAAAGCACGAGCAGTTTGTCTGTGACTCAAGCCGGGCCGGACCACGTGACCACCGTCAAACTAGCAGAGTTGCACCGACTGATAACATCGTGCAACTTGCCCCGGAGCTGGTCTTACGCGCCTGCCTCGCGGGTGACCAGGGTAGGCGTCGTAGGCCCGCGCTGGATTGGGATCTACCGAGAGTATTTTAAGTTCGGGTTGCGCTTTCCGTTGGATTCGATTCTAGAGGGGATTTTGGAGACATGCGCCTGTCCCATTGGGCGCCTATCACCGTCGGTTTTCTTGATACATGTGCTGTTCAAACTGAAATGCCGTCAGAACAACATCTCCCCGACATTCAAGCTCTTCAAACACTTTTTTACGATGACCAGCATGAAGAACTGCTTATCCCTTCAGAGGCGCCTGGACATTCCGGGACATTTCGTGGAGGATTGCCCTAAGTTGGGGCGTTCTTGGTATAGATCCTACTTCTTTATCAAGCCACACGCAGACTCCTTCTATGAGAGTGGCGGCCGGTTCACTCGGCGTTGGAGGGTTGGTAATACGTCCCGCTTCAATGTTGAAGAAGCGTTAACCAGGGAGGAGGAGGAGCACGCGCGCCTGCTGTCCCTTCACCCTGTTAACTTGAGTTCCACCGCCGCGCGTACCCCTGTATTACATGAGTATTATGCAGATGGTGGGTATGCGCATAGTAGCGTGTAGTGGCGCCTGTGCCATAATTACTTGCATAAAATTATTCTAACTCCCTTGTGCCTTTCCTTTGCAGGCGTGGACTTCACTTCGATTGCCTCATTGATGAAAACCCAGCTCGCGAACATGGGTTTGGAATACCAGGCGCCTGTGATTCCAGGCACGGCGCGCTCTCGTCCGAAGAAGGGCGCTTCCCAGAAAGGGAAGGGCAAGCCCGCTTCATCCCGCGCAAAGGGTGCAAGTGCAGCTGATGCGCCCGTTGCGCCATCCGGTAAGGAAAAGGGGCGCTCAAGCCCCCGGAGGATAAAGCCACAGAGAGTGGCTGGCGAGAAGGATGCGCCTGCTGACATCCCCCCTGATACGGAGGCGCCTGGGTCTGCTCAGTCCGACCATGCCTTGGCCATTGATGATGTCCCTCTTTCTCAGAAGCTCAAAAGGAAGACAGATGGTGGTGAATCGGCGCATGGCAAGAGGCAGCGCACTGACGAGGAGGCGCAGGTGCCTACCTTTGTAGAGAAGTGGCTGCAACCGCCCAAGCACAGGGTTGTAGTGGAATGCTCAGATAGGTCCGCCCTGGAGCGAGGCTCGGCGCTTGGTTTTGCATTCCACGCTGCTGAGGTACTGCGGGCGCCTTCCAACGTCGAGGGGAGGAACCTATGGGGAGAGGTGGCGCGCATAGCAGCCATGGTATGTACTAAGTTAACACTTTTCATTTTTATGCTTTACTTTGTTTCACCATGGTATGCGCCTATGCGCACGATTTTATACTTGCTATTTTTGCTTTGGCGCAGATGCTACACTTGGCCAAGAATGGTGCCATGGCGCAAGAGACGCTGCGCCTAGGCGGGGTGGAATTGTCCAACGCCCTTGGCGTGGCACAGGACGATCTGGAAACGGCGCGTAAGCGCCAAACAGAGCTGGCACAGGAGTGCGAACATGCCAATCTTGAGGCCGCCAAAGCCGCATCTCTCCTTCAGCAAAGGGTGGACGAAGAGAAGGAGAAGTTGAAGCTAGAACACGCGGCCGAGCTGGAGAAGATCAAGAGGGCGCACCATGAAGAGGTGGCCAAGCTTATGAAGGAGAAGGCCGATCTGGACAATGAGGCCGGCGCTCAAAGGAGTGAAATCGATCTTCTCACCGACGAGAAGAAGGCTTTACAGAAGGAGAACAGACATTTGGTCCGAGAAGGTAAGAGGCGCCAAGAGGAGCTAGAGGCGCTTAAGAGTGAGAAGGCGTCTTCCGAGGCGCCTGCTTCAGACTTGGCGGTCAAGGCCCAGGCGTCCCTGAATAGCATCCTCATCCTGAAGAGGAAGTTGGAGGCTGATCATCCCAACATCACTTGGGATGTAACGGAGATGGCCAACTTTGTGATCGATTTTATGGCCAGTGGGCGCCCTATTGTCGATGCTGCTCCTGCGCCTCCTCAAGAGCAAGCGGATGAAGTGGGTTCCGGGTCGAGCTCGGAGTCTAGCGACGAGGAGGGCGCGAATGAAGAAGATTGATTTGCCATTTTATGTCAGACTTCCCATGTGTTTCCTTGTTTTGTTGCATGTTTATAGGCGCTTCATGCGCCCGTACTGCCAGACTCGCTTTTTTCTTGTCTACCATGCATGTTCATCTTTTGATCATGGGACTTGGTTTTTTATTTTGCTTTTCTTTATGCTAAGACAAGTGTCCCTTCCTTTCTTATGACCTTCGCGCCCTGCTTCTATGCTTTCGTCATTGGATGGGGCGCATAGTAAAGATTGGGCGCGTAGCAGCGTATATATTGGGCGCATTCAGGGGCGCGATGACTCGCGTTTCATTTGCCTTACCTCAACATTTTACCTAACATTTTACCTTATCATATGATGTGTACTACATGAATTTATTGGGCGCATGTTTGGGCACGATGATTGGGTGCTATAGGCGCATCCACAAGCAAGTTAACGAAACCACTGTATATATATTCCAACTTAAAAAACAACCTTGGGGCGCTACCACCGGGCGCTTTAAGTATCCCGGGCGCTGAGGGGCGCTATACATTGATATTCCGGGCGCATAAGGGCGCTTTACATAAATGTTTCGGGCGCATGAGGGCGCTTTAAACTACGACTACGAGCAAGGTAATGTAGCAGCTATGTATATGTATTCCGATTTCAAAAAACAACCTCAGGGCGCTATTACCGGGCGCTTTAAGTATCCCGGGCGCTAATAGTACGGGCGCATTTAGGCGTTTTCCCATACTTCTACCAAAAAAACAACACCCCGAGGCTTGATACGCTTTCCTCGCAACTACCAAATGCTGGGCGCCCCTTCTGTCAC